CTAGGAATGTTCCTGATGTGAGATTTGTTCGTATCTATGGTTGCAACTCCAATGTACTTAAGTAGGGGATTTGTATATAGAAATGCAATGGTTGATGGGACTAAAAGATGAAAGTAGAATATTTGACCAGGAGTGATTCTATCTCCTTTAACTGGATGGTTTAAGTAAATGAATATTATGTCAAAATGAGAACCACTTCCCATACCTAGCATTATGCCTGTAATCCCAGAAAGCTGAGAAGCTGAGGCAGGAGGATCACAAGTTCAAGCCCATCCTGGGGAATTTAGTGATTTAGGGGTACTATCTCAAAGACAAAACCAATAAATACAAAAACAAAACAAAACAAATAAAACAAAGGTTGGGTTGTAACTTAGTGCAAATGCCCTTGGTTCAATCCCCAGTATCACAACAAGACAAAGCAAACCTGAAAGACATTGCTGAAGACCAGGGGAGACTGTAGTTAGGGTGCAAGGCTTAATGAAGCCAAGGTGTAAGTTTGGGGTTAAAATTGCTATGTTTGAGCCAAATTTATATATGAACAGCATATATTTAGCTGAATATATTATGGGGATATTGGATTATTGAATATATATGGAGATATTATATCAAAGTAGGGGATGTTCTCCCTAGTATTATAAAACAGAAAGCATGTAAATCTACTCTTTAGACAATTATTAGTTGGATACAATAAATGAGAACTAACAAGCCTGCCTAAACAAATCATTCATTTAAATCAGTGTAAAATAGGTACTGAAATGTTGACAGAGACAAATTCAATGTACAATAGCTCCTTGTGAAGTACAGGCTGGGACCTATCATGAGAACCTATGAGCTCCACTGTGATACCTGCTAGGAGTTCCAACCAGAGACTTTTCATTTGAGAGGAAATTACTAGCATGCTATCAGACATAAAATAAAATTGTCCCTGTAACTGAAAGACATAAAATAATCTTGTACATGATAGATGCATAATATTTTTAGAGGTGTGGGGAAGCTCTCTAATGGAAAGTAAAGTATCCTGAAGAGTTCCATAACAAAATAAAAATGGTTTGTGTAGGAGCATGTTACTGGAAAGGTGCAAGGAAATATTCTGCTCATGATATTACCAAAAGATAGATCTTTTTCCTGTAAAACTGGCTGAAACCACCTGAGAAGCTGCTAAAGTCTTATCACTTGGACAGTGTTGTATGAACAGTTATTTTAAATTTTTTTCTTCATTTTTTGTTTTTTGAGACGGGATATCACTTTGTAGGTTAGGCAGGCTTCAAACTCATGGCAACGCTTATGCTTCAACCTCCCAAATGCTGGGACTCTAGGAGTGCACCACCACACCCAGATAAATAGCTCTCTATTGACTAGTGAAGAGATTTATAATGGTGTGGTTCTAAGTGAATACACAGCAGCTTTTTTGAGAGACCACCATTTTGATACAAGAAGGTAAAAACTAACCAGCTCAGTATGTTCAATTGCATACTGTTTTCTCCTGCATTTTTACCTACTTGTTGATGACGGATAATAGACTTTAGCAGCTTCTCGGGTGGTTTCATATTGTCAGGCAGCAGAGCAATGGAAAACTAGTCTATTAGCTTGATGCATTGTGAAAATCACCGTGGCAATTTGAGGGATGCATTAAAGTAGAACATATTAAAAAAATTCCTTCAAAAAAAAAAAAAGTAGAACATATTGATGTCCAAGGAAAGAACAATGTTCCAGAATTGGAAGTGAATTTCTCAGGATATTGACTTGAGGTGGCTCCATGATCCAGGGAGTGGATGTAGAATATGGCAGCAAAGTAGAGATCTAGACATTGCATCTTCTGAGGTACAAAATGCCAGTAGGGGGACAGAGAAAGAAAGAAAAAGAATAAGACAATATATTGCACTGGGGCAGAGTCCCCAGAGAGAAGGCACCACCACACAGCTGTTAGATTACTCTTTATTTTTTGTACTAAGGATTGAATTCAGGGCCTTTTCAGTGACATACATCCAAAGCCCATTTTCAGTTTTTTCTGTTAATTTTAAGGCAAGGTCTTTTTAAACCACTTAAGTTGCTTTGGGCTGGGCTTGAACTCAAGCTTCCTGCTACAAGCATGGCAAGTTTGGTAGATTGTATTGAACTAATGAGGGTAGCACTGGGGGGCTACAAATGGGTCCTGACAGGAATAAACATTTATTTTGGCTAGACTTTGCATACTCAATGGGAGTTGAAAATGCAAAAAATATTATTAAATAATTGAAACAAAAGGTACTGTGTTTTGCTGAGCTGATTTAATTAAGCCTCTAAATTTCTCAAGTTGACACAATCAGCCAGCCATTACAGTGATACAGTAAAAATATGTCTGATCTTTGTCCCCATTTCATGGCAGAGTTTCAAAACCCTCTGGAATTCCCTCAGTAATGGAAATCTCTGTTATGTTAATTAAGTGAACAAAGCTGTTTTACTATGCACTTGGTACTAATTGGACTTAGTCTGGTGAAACAGAACCTGCACACAAGTTACATGAAGCAGGGTTGTTACTTAGAGATAGGCAACAAGGGACAACAGAGGCCTAGCATTCAATGTAAGCCAGTTCCTACCAAGGCTGAGGAAAGTTGTCTGGATGGCTAAGATACTGTCTGTGTATGCCCCACTTGCACCACAGCTGAGGAACTCGGGATAGAAACTGCCCTGTGTTCCAAACCCCAGGGGAGCAACAAGTTGCTAAGATAAAGCATTGAAGGACATCCTATTTCTAGGGGGAAGTGGAACAGAGCACAGATTGTTCTGGCCAATCCCTTCATATTACAGGATGTTGCATTCCCAGCCCTTCATTTTTCTTCCCTGTTCATTCTATAATTATTTTTGAGAACTATACACAAGAAAGAAGGGAAAATTGAGTCAGTCGAAGGCCACTTTGCTGCCCTGCATGGTGATTCCTTGCATGGTGTAGATAGCTACAGGATGGAAAAGGCTAAATGTCAGAAATCCCACTATGTGATTAGGGGCTGAAATTGTCAGACCTTTTCCTCAAACTTTTAGAGAGTCAAATTCAGTTACATGACCACTAACGATTTAACTCATCATGCCTACATTAAGAAATATCAATAAAAACTCTGGACAATGAGATTCAGGTATTTAGTGTTAGAATTAAACTGAAGAACCAAGCATAGTGGCACACTGCATTGATCCCAGCACTCAGGAGACTGATGCAAGAGGACTGCTGCAAGTTCAAGGTTACCCTGGGTGTACATGAACTACATAGTGACACCATATAACAAAGTACTCCCCTTCAAAGAAAAAAATCAAAATAACAACAACAAAAACAAACTATCCCCCTTCAAATTAAACTGAATGCTAGTACACCAAACCAGTTGCTTTTAGAAAATTAATGTCAGACACAGTAGTCATGATGGTTTCCTGAGTTCTGTGAGTTATTCTAGTGAATTATCAAACCTGATGGAGAAATGGGAAAACCCATAAGACACAAGCAAGAATCAAGAAAGCCTAAGGCTTCCTGAATGAAGTAAGACAGACTAGTGGAAGACCACACCTTTTATTGTGAAATACAACCTAATTCTGGGTAGTTGGTTGCAGCAACCTACATGGAATATTAACCAGCCACAGGAAGAGAGGAAGTTGCAACATGGATAAACATTGAAAATGCTATGCTAAATCAAAGCAGCCAGACACAGAAGACCAAACAGAATGCAATTCCATTTACAAGAAATGTCTAGAACAGGCAAATCTGCAGACACAGAAAGTAGATTAAATGGGGGGCTTAGGGCTGAGGGTTGTGGTGGGTGGGGTTGGGTTAAGGAATTGAGGACTACTAAAGGGACTCAAATTTTTCCTCTTCCTCCTCCTTCTTCCTCTTTCCTTTTTTCTTTCTTGGCAGTGATGGTGATTGAACGCAGGGCCTTGCACGGACTAGATAGGTGCTCTGCCACTGATCTACCACACACTACTTGCACATTCTCATCCCTCAAATTCCCTTTAAAAAATATTTTTAAGTACTGGGGACTGAACCCAGGGCCTTGACCCTGAAATACATTCCCACTCTCTTTAATTTTTACTTTGAGATACAGTCTCATTAAGTTGCATAAGTTGGACTCAAACTTGCTTCCTCCTGCCTCAGCCTCATAGAGTACTGGGATTACGGGCATGCATCATCATGCTTGGCTTCAATTTCTTTATAGTATGATAGAAATGTAGTAAAATTAACAGTGGTGGTGGCTACACATATCTATCAAACACTGAGTCACACTTCATTTTTTTAATTTATCATTTATCTTTTTTGAAAGGGTCTTACTGCGTAGTTTAGACTGGTCTTGAACTCACTATGTAGTCTAGGCTGGCCTTGAATGCATGGTATGTCCTCTGCCTCTGTCTCCTGAATATTGGATTGTAGGTGTGTGCCACCTGTCTGGTTGTTTCATACTTTAAATGGGTACATTTTATGTTATATGACTAATTCTCAAAAATAAATTAAATAAATAATGATACCTTTTAGAAATATATACTGAAATAATAGTGATAAAATAGAATGTTTGGGAATTGCTTTAAAATAATTCACTAGGACAGAGAATCATACTTGCCAGACGTTGGTAACTGCTGAAGCTGAGAACCTGGCAGTTCACTATACTATTCTTTGCATTATTACTTATGTTTAAAAGTTTAAAAAAAGTTTTCATAAAATAGTTGGGTATGGGGCACACACTTGTAGTCCTAGTACTCAGAAGGCTAAGGCACAACGTTTACCACAAGTTTGAGATCAGTCTAGCCTATATAGTGAATTCAAAGCCTACCTAAATTATACAGCAAGACCCTCTTTCAGAAAACCAAAACCAAAAAAAAAAAAAAAAGAAAGTTTTCAAAAAAGAACACCAGGAAATATTTTCTCAGAAGACAGTAGAGTATCATTCATTTTGATAGTTTACCTGCCCAGAGTCACCTGACCCCACTCACAGTCCCTCAGATGAGGGACATAAATTTTTAAGAAGAAACTGAGAGGTTGGGAAGCCATGGAGTCTGGAGAGGCACCGAGCACAGGGGCTGGTACAGGCCAGGCAGCTCTGCCTCCCTCAGAGGCCCACACTGTCCCTCCCAGCCCTCTTGCCACACTGACTGTGGTGGTAGAAGTGGAACTCAGGAGGGAATCAGGTAAGAAGCCTCGACAGTCAGATTCCAGGAGAATGCAGCCAGGAGTGTTTTGGGATAGAAAGGCCTAGACCAGTGCAAGTACGGAAACCAAGGTACATGTTAAAGGCAGGATGTAGGAATCCTAGAGCTTGGTTTCCCTCATGAGAATGGATATGAAACCCACCTTTCTCAGGCCCTGAGGAGATTCAGAGCCCTTTACTGCTGGAGGAGCCCAAGAGCATTCGCCTGTTTCCTTCGAGGACTCTAGAGAATCAGGTAAATGGGGTAGGGTGGTGGAGGAGGAGGGGAAGGCACTGCTGACTCCAGCCCTGTCCACAGGAACAATGCTTCACGTTTGACAGAGTCCTGGGCCTCGATGCAGCTCAGGTAGGATGATCTGAGATGGAAATGGGAGGAAGATGGAGTGTTCAGTTCAGGCTCCTGAATCCCGGGATACTGACTGCTCTCCAGCTGGTGCTCAAGACAGGCTGGCACAGGGAACCTACTTCTCCCTGCAGGAGGCAGAGCAGGAGCTGCTGGCACGAGTCAAGTCCACCTTGGCTTTAGTGGGCAAAGGATATAGTGTAGCCCTGATTCTCCGGGGCCGGGAAACAGAGGCACCCCGACTTGTGCCCCAGGTAAGGAGCTACCAGGTCATATGTCTCTTGAAGACTTAGGAGAATTTGTCTGCCCCCCAAGCCAAATGAGGTATCCCTCTTTGGAGTTCCTCTGGGCCATACGGACATTTTGCCAGTGTCAGTTTATGCAGCTATTGGGAGGTCAGAAATGGGGAGAAGCTGGGAAAGATGAGTGAAAGTCAGGGAGGGGTGCTGTGCAAAGAGCAAATCTAATTCTCATAGTTCTTGGTAATACTAATGACTCACTAAACTTGAAGGTTTTGTTATGAGGCTTTATTAAAATGTCCCCAAATCAAAATAGCTGCCTCAGAACCTTGTCATAGCCCTTGCTCTGCAAACACTAGGTCACACTGAAAGTGCTTGCCCCTTTCTGGCTCATTGTGAATCTGCTCTGGACACGAATCTGCTTATGTTTCCAAGGCTTGAAATAGACTTCATCCTTGGGAAATGCTGGATGACACTGAAGTTTCCCTGTCCCCTCTGAATAGCTTTCTTCACTTAGCTACTGCAGGAGCTGTTTGAGGAAGCTCTGCTCCTCCATCATTCTGACTGCATGCTCAGCACGCTCAGCCTGGTGCAGGTGAGATCCCTGGGGGAGGAGGGAGAGTGGGATGGGAGGCAGGGCCATGTGACACTGCCAAAGAGCCTAAGGCCTCAGAGCGGCTGGAAGAGGTTGAGTTCAGCCTCTTGCTGTTTTTCACCTCTCTGGGCTCACTTTTGCCCTGACTGAGAAATGACTAAATTCTTTTTTTTTTTTTTTTATTTAAGGAGAAAAAAAAAAAAAACAGAAAAAGGGTACAAGTTATACAGGATTTCAGAAAAAATAAACAGTAGGAAATCACTAGTTAATAGATTACATACTGTCATCTTAGAAATAGTTGTTCAAGTTACAAAATTAAAGCACATAAAGTGGACTTTCAAACAGTGAGACTGGAAACAGTTTTGTTCAATGATCCAACAAAACTCAGTAATATGGTTATCTATCTTAAAACTTAAATATATATGCAATTATATTCTTTAGAGCACTTTCTTTTCCTTTCTTTTGTACAATGACAATTACACATTTTGGGTTTTATTACTCCCACAGTTCTTATTACTTTTTTTTGAAGAGAGTAAAACCAAATGTGACATAACAGAACAGAGTGCGTCAAATCAAAAGGATGGACATAATAGATAATGTAAAAACAAAATACTAGGTGATCAACAATGACACCCATTCCGGTTGACTATTATCTTCTTTTAAAGTCCTGTAATGCCTCCAATGTTTTGGTTTTATTCTTTACTGTTTTGTTCAATTTTATTATAACTGATGATATAGGCAATTCTTTTTAAGATAGAAATGGCTAAATTCTTACACCCGGTTTAGTGAGAAAGTCTTCCACAAGAGGGGAAAGACTCAGCTTGAAACAAGTGTATTTCTGCAATCCCAGATCAGCCCCAGTGGGAGGACACAGGACCTGCTCTCTCCAGGGCTGGAGGACCTGTCCATGCTGGAGGTGGCTCCTCTGGGCTTGTGAGTAGTCAGGGCCCAAGGGAGTCTGACACCCCCAACCCCAATCTCTTAGAGGTTACATTCTATTTCTATTTCTGCCATCCCAGCGAATAGAAGATCTGAGCTTGGTGCTACACAGGGCCTGGATCTGTTCCCAGGATCCCCTCCTGCACTCTTGCCCTCTTACTCCTCGCCCCCTCCTTAGACCTCTTCAACTCCACCCCCTGCTCCCATGGGGGATGGACTCAGTCCATTCTCATACTGGGTACTTTTGAGTACCTCATTAGGCAGGACTTCAGTCTCCATCTGTAAAAGGGAGGCAACACCTACTACCCTGCACCCACCCCTGGTACACTACACAAGGAAAAACAAGATCGTCAAGAGGAGAGATATTCATGGAGCTCTTCTAAGCCTAGGGCCTCTGGGATGATTCTTACAGACTATGGACACTTTTATGGGAGATTCTAGGAGTCGGGACAGAACCCTAGGGCCTAATGGCTGAGCTCAAAATCCTTGTCCTTCAGGGTGGTGGAAGGTGCCAGTGAGGTGGACGTGTCTGACTCAAGAGCTGCCTCAGAGCTGTACTTGCAAGTTACAGGGCGCGAAGCCAGGTGAGCACAAGAGGGCACCTCAAACCCCTCCTCCCCTGACTTGTGGCCTGAGCCTACCCTATCCTCCACAGGACTTGCTGTCTGCTGACGCTCACCGTTTCTTGCCCTGGGCCTGATCCTCCTGAAGGTTCTGGGACCCAGGGTGTGTGGCGAGGTGTTTTGCGGATATTGCAGCTCCCAGGAGCCTTGTAAGTCTGTGTGGTTTTCTGATTCTATTGGGAGAAGAGGAGGTAGCAGATATGGTTGTGATGAATCTAAAAGATTCATCACATGACCTAAAAGACACATGATCTAAAAGATTTGCCATTACTGGCCTAGGGCAACATCAGAATCTTTCTTCTTTTCCTCAGCACTGATGACAGTGTACTCTGGAGGCCAGGCTAATATCCTTTGTTGGGAAATGATGTGGTCAAAGGCAACAGGACAGGTTTTATGGAATCACTAGCCATTTTCCATATGTGTACTTTCCAGCCACCTTTTTTTCAGAAGGTGATAAAAGTACTACAGGCAGTTTTGCAAATGGTGTCTTCAAGCATTTTTGTCTGATTTTTTGTTTTGTTTTTCTGCTATTTAATTTTTACATTTATAACTCATTTATGGCCACTTACATTTCTTCTGTTATATCAAACTGCAAACTAAGAAAGAATCTAAACATCCAAAAACCAATATGGAAATTTCCCAAGTAACTGTATTGGGGCTGGGGATTTAGCTCAGCGGCATAAGCATCTGCCTTGCAAGCAGGCAGTCGTGAGTTTGATCCCCGGTACTGATAAAAAAAGGAAAAAGCCAAAAAAAAAAAAAAAAAACCAAAAAACCAAGTAACTGTATCATCATGTCTCACTCTATACCTTTTTTTTTTTTTTTTCCGGTGCTCAAAAATAATAAATACGAGTCAAGTGTACTGGCGCAGGTGTGTACCCCAGCACTTTGGGGGCAAGGCAGAAAGATAACAATAGAGTCCACTCTGGGCAATTTGCAAACTTATTGAGACCCTACCTTAAAATAAAAAATCAAAAAGTCTGAGGATGTAGCCTGATGTGAAGGTGCTGGGTTCCATCTAGGCTCTGAGAACAATCCCTCTCCTCCATGATGTGGCAATGGAAAATAATCATTTCAAAGTAATCTGAAAAATTTGTAATATCGGGGCTGGGGATTTAGCTCAGCGGCATAAACGCCTGCCTTGCAAGCAGGCAGTCGTGGGTTTGATCCCTGGTACTGATAAAAACGAAAAAGACAAAAAAAAAATTTGTAATATCATTAAAACATTGTCAAATTTAGAAGTGCCTAAAAACAAAATAGAGAAAGAAAAAAAATAGGGAAAACTATCCTAAATTCCAGGCTATTGCACTATTTTCTTTCATTTGTCTTTTTTATTGGATAAGATTCCTTTTTTTAAAAAAATGCTAGCTATGTTGAAATATAATTAAAGTTTACTCTCTTAAAATGTGGGCATGGTGGTTCATGCCTATAATCCCAGAACTTGGGAGGCTGAGGATCATTGCAAGTTCAAGACCAGTGTGCACCACAAAGTGAGCTCAAGGGCAGCCTGAACTGCCTAATGAGACCCCGTCTCAAAAGGACAAAAAAAAAAAAAGAAAAGAAAAGAAAGAAAGAAAGAATAAGCTAAATGGCTCTCAAATATATTCACAAAATTATGTGTGTTACTTAATGTTAAGTAAAAATTAAGACATATCGGGGGCTGGGGATTTAGCTCAGTGGCATAAGCGCCTGCCTTGCAAGCAGGCAGTCGTGAGTTCAATCCCTGGTACCGATAAAAAGAAAAAAAAAAAATTAAGACATATCAGAACTAAAAGGGATCATTGGTATGTTACAGATGCTAGCTTAAAATAAAAGGACCTATTCTGGAAGAAATTTTCTGATCCACCAACAGCACAGGAAGATAGTAATTGGAAAATGTTCACCAGATCTAAGAAGCCAGGGCATTTTAAATGAACCTCTGGGGAGAAGAAAGCATAAACTGCTTACATTGTAGCTAAGAGGGCAGGACAATGCTAAACCCCAGTGGCCATAGAAGGCTAGACTACAAGGGAGGTACTTGTTGCTTTTTGCTTGGTTGGTTTTGCAAGCTGAATGTGACAGAGCCTTGATGGTTAATCTTCATCATATAGGACAGAAATGTGGAGCTGCTTTGTTTTTTTCTTCATTATTGATTTACCACAAAGCTATCAGCTAAACTAAACTCTTACCCTTTGTTCTCTTCTATTCTCTGTCCAAAAACTAAATTTAGAAAATTTCAGGATTATTTTATCAATAGTTTTCAAACATTTTCCTAACTCCAAAAAGGAAACATAGTTTTGTTTGGTTTTATTTTTTTGGAGGCATTTCCCATCTTGCCTCCTCTCAGCCCAAAACAGTCACTGATTTTTTTTTCATTTCTAAAGATGTGCCCAGCCAGAGATAATGGGCCACACTTGTAATCTCAAGACTTGGGAGGCTGAGACAGAAGGATCACTGTAAATTTGAGGCCATCCTGGGCTACATAGTGAGCTCAAGACTAGCCTAAATACGTAGTGAGAGTCTGTTTCAAAACAAAACGTATATCTATTTTGGGCATTTTCATGTACAGTAAATGAAATCAAGCAATATGTGATCTTTCATATATGGTTTTTCATTTAACATCTTATTTTTAAGGTTCATTCAAATTGTAGTATTAAAATTTTATTTTTATTGCCAAATACTGTAATATACAATTGTATAAATACACTATACTTTGTGTATCATTTCTCCACCAATGGACACTTGTTGTATCTCCACATTTAGTTACTGTAAACAATGCTGCACCAAACATTCATGTACAAGTTTTTGTTTGGACATATGTTTTCAATCATCCTAGACACATACTAAGAAATGATATTGTTAGGTCTTTTGGTAATTCAATATTTATTTATTTATTTGTTTAGGCTTTTTGATACAGTGTCTCACTATATAGTCCAAGCTGGCCTTGAACTCACTTTATAGCCCATACTGGCCTTGAACTCAAGGTAATCCTCTTGTCTTAGCCTCTCGAGTTCTGGCATTACAGTTGTGCACCAAACCTGACCTACACGGTAGCTCAATTTTAAATCTTGTCTTTATTGAGGTAAAATTCACATAACATAAAATTAACTATTAGCTGTGTTATGTACAGTTTAGCAATATTTAGTACATTCACAATGTTCTGCAACTCTCTAGTTCCAAGATATTTTCATCATCCCAAAGGTAACTCTTGAACTCATTATGCAGTCGTTTTCCAATTCCCCCATTTTTTTTTTTTTATCGGTACCGGGGATCAAACTCATGACCACCTGCTTGCAAGGCAGGTGCTTATGCCACTGAGCTAAATCCCTTGCCCTCCAATTCCCCTTTTTGCAGCCCATGTCAAACACAAATTGGTTTCTCCATCAATTTACCTGTTTCATATAAATAGAAACATGCAATGTATGACCTTTTTTGGTCCGGCTTCATTTAGAATAATGTTTTCAAGGTTCACCATATTGTAGTATATAATATTCCTTTTTATTGCCAAATAAACTTCCATTATATGGATATAACACATTTTGTGGTCGGCAATTGATAACTACTTGAGTTGTTCTACCTTTGCTATGAAGATTCTTGTACAAATATTGGTTTGAATATCCCTTTTCAATTATTTTGAGTATATACCCAGGAGTGGAATAGCTGATCATGTAGTAATTCTATGTATATTTTCTTTTACTGTTCATGGTGCTAGGGGTTGATCCCAGGGCCATGTACATGCTAGGCAAATGCTGCGCCACTGAGTAACAACTGCAGCCCCTGCATTTAACTTTTTGAAGAACCACTATACTCCTTTCCACAGTATTACACTATTTTATATTCATACCAGCAAGGTGTGAAGGCTCTAGTTCCTCCACATCCTCAACATTTATTATTTTTTATGCTTTTTAAATTATGTCTAACCTAGTGATTGTGAGTAGTATCACACTGAGGCTTTCATTTGCATTTCTCTAGTAACTAATGATAGTGAGCATGTTTGTATGTGTTTATTGGCCATTCCTGTCTCTTGTTTGGAGAATTGTCTTTTCATATCCTCTGCCCATTTTTAATTGGGTCGTTTGTCTTTATTTGTTGTAAGTCTACTCAAAGTTTCTATTTCTTCTTGAGTCAGTTTTTGTTATTGGTGTGTTTCCAGGAAACTGTTTATTTCATTTAGGTTCTTTAATCTGTAGTGTACAATATTTTTGTAGTATTTTCTTATAATCCTTTTTATTTCTGTAAAAGTAAAGTTGGTAACAATGTCTACATATTCATTTCTGATTTTACTAATATGAGCCTTCTTTTCTTTGGTAGTCTTATTAAAAGTTTGTCAATTTTTTAGAACTTCTCAAGAAGTTGACTTTGGTTTAATTTTTTGTTGCTTTATATTGTCATTTTCCTTTACATCTGCCCTAACTTTTATTTTCTTTCCTCTGCTAGTTTTGAGTTTTATGTTTTTGTTTCTTTTTTCTAGCTTCTTAAAGTATCCAGTTAAATTATTAATTTGAGATTTTCTTTTTTTTGACAGGGTCTTAGTAAGTCCGGAAATACCCAGACTGGGCTCAAACTTGCAATCTTTCTGCCTCCACTTTCCAGAGTGCATCTCCCAGTGTGGGCCACCACATCTGGCTGACACTTAGGTAGTTTAGTTTTTTTGAGACAGGATCTCCCTCCATAGTCCAGTTGGCTTTAAACACACACTGATCAAATTGCCTCAACATCCCAAGTGGTGGGATTATTGGCATTCACCACTACAACCCGTAGTCGTTTTTAATGTAGGCATTTACAAAATAAATTCCCCTTTGAACATTGCTTCTGCTATATCCCATAAATCTTCGTATGTTATATTTTAATTTTTACTTTTGAAAGTATTTTCTAATTTTCCTAGTAATTTCTAAGCTGTTGGTTATTTACTACATATTTGTGAATTTCCCAGTTGTCGTCTTGTTATTCATTTCTAGTTTATTCCATTATAGTTGGAAAAAATAATTTGTATGATTTCAGTTTTCAAAACTATGTTGACATTTGTTCTACATCCTAACATATAGCCTATCCTGGAGAATGCTCCTGTGTGCGCTTTGGAAAAACATGTTCTGTTATTTTGGAATTGAATATTCTGTACTTACTGGTTAGATCCAACTGGTTTACAGTGCTGTGCAAGTCTGCTACTTCCTTACTGATCTTGTGTCTATCTAGTTGCCCTATTCACTATTGTGAGTTGAATTTTTTTTTTTTTTTTTGTCTTTTTTGTTTGTATCAGTTCCAGGGATCGAACTTACGACTGCCTGCTTGCAAGGCAGGCGCTTATGCCGCTGAGCTAAATCCCCAGCCCCACCCTATTCATTATTGAAAGTGAGGTATGGAAGTGTCTAATTATTATTGAAAGGCTTTTGGCCCAGGCTGGACACTGTAACCGGAACCAGGAAGCCCTTATCCCGCCCCCCCTAGGAATTTACCTGTGATGCCCGTTCTTCCCCGCCCCTGGGAATTTGCCTATGGCGCCAAACCTAGGACCAATGGGCTACCCATGCATCTCTAATGCCCTCCTTAGGTTCCACCCCAAACCGAGGCTACTTACATACCCCCCCACGCCACGTGTCCGCTGGAGAGACCACCACTCCAGCGGTGGGGGGGTGCCAGTCATCTCTCTCCGTGTTCTCAGAATAAAGGCCTCTTTTTGTTTCATACTTTTCATCTTTTGGAAATAATCCTATCAATTATTATGATCTATGACTCATTTCATTTAAGTTTGTTTGTTTGTTTATTTTTGAGACAGGTTTTTAGTTCAGGCTGGCCTTTAAGTCACTGGGTAACATAGGCATTGAACTCATGGTGATCCTCTTGCCTCAGTCTCCAAATGCTGGGATTACACGTGTGCATCACCATGCCTGGCTCATTTCTGTTCACTTGTATGCCACACACTTTGGGGCTCTGTTGTTAGATGCACTGCATACATGTTTGTGTTATATCTTCATGATGGATTGAAACTTTCAACAGCATAAAGTTGTTTTCATTATCTTATATCAACAATTTTTGGTTTAAACTATATTTAAAACTATATAAATCATATTTATATAGTTACACAGCCTCTTTTAGTTGTTATTTACATGGCATATCTTTTTGCATTCTTTTACTTTTAACTTATTTGTATCTTTGGATTTAAAGTGAGTCTCTTGTAGACAGCATATAGACATAGTATGGGCTTTTTAAAAATTGATTCTTCCAAATGCTGGGTTTTTTTTTTTTTTTTTTTTTTTTTTTTTAGTGCTGTGGATTGAACCTCACGTTTGTCAAGTAGGCACTTATACCACTGAGCTATTCCTTTTTTTAAAATCTTTTTTCCTGCTATGAAGATTCGTATCTTTTATTCCTTAATTTCCTTTTTTTTTTTGACTTCTTACAATATCCATATTGATTTCCTTCACATTACCCTTTCTAGATTTTTGTTTTGTTTTGATTTTTGACACAGAGTTGCAATATATATATATATATATATATATATATATATATATATATACATACAGGCTGGCCTTGAATTTGCTTATATAGTCCAGGCTGCCCTCAAACTCACAGTTTAGAGCTTCTAATGTTCCCCATGCTGGTCTCAAACTTGCAACAACCCTCCTGCCTCAGCCTCCTGAGTGCTGGGATTATAGGCATGTGCCACTACACACAGCTTCATATTTTCTGTAAGATTGTATTTTTCGTATTTATCACTTAAGTCTTTGTCCCTTTAGGATATTATAATATGGTTACTGTAGGAATCAGATTCTTTTGACTCTCTGGGACTTGTTGCATCTGTTTGCTTAGTCATTTTTCCAAACAACTTTTAAAAATTATATTCTATGTGGCCACTGAACCCTTTATTTTCTTTATCTCATGGGCTAGCCAGTGACTCAACATAGAAGTTTTTAAATGCATGGGGCCAAAAATTGCAAAAATTTTTAAAAAGAAGAAAACTAAAGAAAATTAAAAAGTAAGTGATAAAAGAGAAGTAAAAAAGACTGAAGGTAGAGAACAATAAAAATAAACATTCTTAGGTCTCTGCACATCAGCTTTGTATGTTAGGCCCCTCCTGTTATGCTTAGGCTATTTACAGCTCTGCCTTATCCTACACTTCCTACTGTGCTTAGCCTACCATACCCAGCCTTAACTTTGGATTATTTGTCTTTTTGTTAATGAGTTGTAGGAGTTCTTTATATATTCTGATACAAGTCCCTTTTGGATATATATGATTTTGTACCATGATAATGTATTACCTCTCTAAATTTTAAATAAAAATAACAAAGATCTATGCAAGGTTTCAAATCTGTCTGGTGATGTACAGAAATTGTTGGAAGTAGTCAATCTTCCCATCAGAGTGTGATTCTTCCCAGTTTCTTTCCCTATTCACCAGGGGATGTTCTTTTTCCCTTCTTTTGACAGACACTGCCCCCTGCTGCGAGTATTGGCTGGTGAGGTTGTTGGTGAGGAGATGGAGGGCTCTTTGCCTTGGATTATCTCACAGCTCTTAGAAGGAAACAACTATAGTGGTCTACTCCTTCGCCTGGACCCCCAAGGTAGCTGGGAGGGGGTAGGATTTAGGGTCCTTTGGGAAGCTCTAGGATAGAGGTGGTGAACCTATGACACACATGCCACTGTGGGGTGTTTATATCATTGGAAAGTTTGCCATCACTACTTTCTAGGATGAGGCCTTAGAACTGCTTCATCCTATCACCCAACCAGCCTCTGCCCAAGCCCAGCCCAGAGAGACAGCACGACTGCTGGGGAAGGCCAGCATTCAGAAAGGTCCCATTAACTGGGTGTGGGGATACACATTTGTAAACCCAGCACTCAGGAGGCTGAGGCAGGACTGTCAAGAGTTCAAAGCCAGCTTGAATTACAGAGCAAGACCCTGTTTCAAAGAAAAAAAAAGACTTACTTATTCTTATATTTCATTAAAAGCCTGTACACTGAAACAATATTACATCAGGGGTTTGGACAGGAGGTCAAAACTGAACCTGAGTGATACTGTGTATTTTGATGCATTTTTACACTTTTAATACCTTTCAACTTTGCATAAGGGTTAAAAAAAACTAATCTCTAACTCCAAAATCAACAAACACATCTTCACTGGGCCAGTAAGTTCCCAGACCTCACCCTAGCCAGGTTCTATGGACTAAGACAAGATGGAGCAGTTTACTCTTCTGGATAAAGCAGTGACAGGCAGACATGTGTTTATCTATAGACCCATTTGGCAGCATAGTTAAGAGCACAGGCTTTAGTATCAGACAGAACTGGGCTTGAGTGTCAACTCTGCCACTCATCAGAGTTGCTTGACCTCTCCACACTTTAGCTTTCTAATGTAGAAAACGTGAGGGAGGCAGGATTGATCACAGTTGCTGTGAATAAAAACAGGTAATCCACAAACAGCTTCAGCACAGTGCTCAAGCATATGTGAAAGTCTAATAAAAGTTATTTTGATGAATGGTAAGTGTTAATAGAATTTAAAAATATTACAGGCAGTGTGTTCTGGAATTCATAAGAAGAAAAACATCCACTGTAAGTTTCCTTTACAGGTAGCTCCCTGAGTTTGCTTCAGGGTGCTCTGCTGGGGGCCTCAGAAAGAAGGATGCAAGTGAAACAGATCAGGCCCATCCTGTGGAACGTAGTAGAAGAGGCCCGGGCCCGCCGTGCTGGCCTAAAGACCCTGCGTTTAGGCCTCCTTGGACTCACCTTGACAGATGAAAGGCTTAGCCAGATGGGCAGGGCACTCCGGGAACTACAGGTGAGCAAGGTAAGGCTTGGGGCTCCTGGACCAGCAATGACCAGGGCCCACTCTAAGCCTTTTTGTATAGGTGGTAAAAGCCTTGGGCCAGTACCCAAGAAGCCCAGTATCCAAAGAGGCCAGAGCTGAGGTGGAAGAGCTCCCGGGGTCAAAGGTATGTTTTCTCATCCAACCTCTTAAGACCTCTATTTATGTTGGCCTTCCCCTCCTGTTTATAGAGTATTCCATTTATTAATTGCTTTATTGACTCAACGGCATTTACTGACCAACTATTATGTGTTGGGCATAGTGCCATGTCAGCCTTAAACATTTCCTGTCCTTGTGACATTTATGCCTTCTGGAAAGAAACAATTACAACACAAGATCAGCACTGTAAAAGCCTTATAAACACCTGCTTCTATTAGGCATCTAAGTTAGCTGGGCAAGGGAAAAAGGAAAACTTCATGGAGGAAGTGATTCCTTATGAGTTAGCAAAAATGAGTGAAGAATGTTCCAGGAAGAAAAAATAACAGGGAAAGACTAAGTGGTGAATGAGTACTTGATGTCTCTGGGGAACTAAAATTAGTTCAATTTGCTGGAGGGTAGAGTGTGAAGAGATAATCAAGGGAGAAGGACTAGAAAGGAAGGTGGGAGCCAGCCCAGCCAGGGCTTTATAAATCCAACTCTGTTTTCAAGGTCCAAGGCAAGCCATGGAAATACTGTGAGCAGAAAAGACAACATTACTCTCACTTGGCAGGTGAGAAAACAGGCTCAGAGATATGAATATAATCAGAGGCAGCAGAGGTACAATCAAACTGAAACCCTTCAACTCCTAATCCAGTACTCTTTTATTGTTAGGCAGGGCCTTTCTAGAGCAGAAAAGGATGCTATCTTTATGATTTGCTGTAGGGTGGTTAAAACCCTTTCTTGGTCTTTCTCCTTCCTTTTCATAATTTATAAACTGTGTTTCAGCCCTGGGTTTGTAGAATTAGGCATGACTCTCAGTTACTGAGGAAGTACTTTAGGCCATTACTTCATGTTCTCCACAGCTTTTATCATCTCTAGTTTATAAAGAACAAAGAGACTCAAAAGGCTAGTTGACTGCCAGAGGTTATACACATAAGAATGGGCTGGGCACCTGTCCCATTCCAAGTCCCATTCCAAGTCCAAGAGTTCTGGGGGGAAAGGCATGGAATTGCCACTCCTAACATAGCATCAGCAGGTGACAGATTCAGCAGCAAGTACAGCCCAGGACTGAATGGGTCTGGAACTTGGAGGCTGTGTGTATGGGGGTCCCCTCCACCTTTGGTGTGATTATTTTCCTCTAGTGGCAGGAAGAACAGCATCTCCAGGGCCTAGGCTCCACCAAAAGCATTCTCTCAGGGACTCTGAGGAACAGGTAACACTTCATGTACCCCAGGAATGATTGGAAACTGTTGTGGGGAGTGATGAGTCCTGGAGACCAGCTAACCTGCTTCCTGCTTTCTCCACCTTGAAATTAGGGAGGAACACGGAGCTTCCAGCAATAAAGGACTTGAAGGGCTAGAGGATCCCTATGAGAGCTCTAGGAAAGGCTGTTTTTCTCATGGGTTAGATTAGGGTTATGGGATCCCTAGGGCCTCTGTTATACTATGGGCAGATCCAGAGGCTTCTCACTCTACCCATGGCGTCCTGACTCTGTACCCAGGCTATAGGCTCTTCAAGGCCAGTGAGGTCCTGGATATCATTCTGGTAGCATCCCTGGAAATGAGGTTCTTTTAGAAAATCTGGGCCCTGTGTTCCAAAGCTATGTACACATGAACTTGGCTGAATTTAGACTGACACTATCTGGGTCTGCCAGGCCCCAGATGTGGCCCTGCAGTTCATCCTGGCGCAAGCCCGGAGGCAAAGACTGCAAGAGCAGCACCAAAGTTGGATTCAAGAGGAGTTGAAGCATATGGGACAAGAGGAGGTTGCAGGTGAACAGATCAAAGGCCCAATGGCTGAGGAGCAGGTGAGAAGAGTGAGGAGGGTACTAGGATCCATCACCAATCACAACTCACTGGTCCACAGCATCTCATGGCTCTCACAGCCTTACAGGGGATAGAGAAGCAATTCTCAGTGCTGCATACTGTGGCAGGAGACCTGGGGGCTGATAGGAACAAAGATGTCACCCAGACTGGAATGGATCAGAGATGGCATTGGGCTAAGACTTTGAGGACAAACATAAATCAGTCAAGAGAAATTAGACTCAGCCCCACAAGGGTGGTCAATGTTTGCCACAGAGGCATCCAGAACTTGTTTGATTAAATTAAGAAACAAAATGTGGTGGGGAGTAGATAGAGTGGTGCCTATGTTCTCAGAGAGGACAAAACTGTGAAGAGCACCTGCCTGGCCAGTGTGAGGTCATGAGGAATGGTGCAGAGGGAAGCAATGGTAAAATAAGCTCTGAGAACTACAAAATGTCCTGACTGGAGCCTAGCAAGTGTGTAGTAGAGGCTGAACAAGTGTACTACATCTCTGGGTTTGGATTTCACCCAAGGAGTTGGGTGAACTGTTGAAACATATGTGCCATCTCTGTCCCTTACTAGCCATGGGAATCTGGGCAAATTAGGTCACTCCCCTGATCTACCTTCCAAATCTGTAAAATGGAGAGTTAGTTGTTACTGGATAAAATACACATAAAGTGTTTAGCAAAGAGCATAGCATACAGCTGACACTTAATAACGGGTATGAATCACCTCTGAAGTTCTGTGAAGAGAGACAGAGATGGCTCCAAGAGCAGACAGTGCTGAGGCTCCAGGTGGAGGCCCTGCAGGCAGAGCGGAACATGGCAGAACAGGACCTGGCAGCCTTCTATGACCTGCATGTAAAGGCCACTCGTGCTCAGACATGCCACATGCTACAGGTCAGTGGGGACAGATGGCAGGCCCTGAGCTGGTACCAAGGTTGGCTGGCTGACAGGTATCTGTGAATCTATATTCACAGGTATTTCGAGCCTGGCAGGGGCTTTGGCAGGAGAAGGCCACAACCACTGAGCACCATCTTCGCAGCCTCCTAGCTAGTGTCCTGCAAGACACCATTGATCTGGCCTCACAGAACCAGGAGCTCCAAGCCCAGAACCAGCAGCTTCGGCTTCAGCAGTGTGCAAGTGAGCCCGGCACAGTCACACTGGGTCCCTGCCCTGGAGAGAAACCTGGTGACCTGGAATCTTTCAAAAACAGTTTCCTTCCTCCTCATTCTTGGGAGTCCTAGAAGGGAGCAGAGTAGGACACGACAATGAAGTAGAACCTTACAGGAAATCAATTCCATTACTAACCACATCTGACTCTGCTGGTTCCTGCTAAGTACTTGACATATATCATTTCACTTTACCTTTTCAGGTATTTTGTCAAAACTACAGTCAACATACTTAGGTAATATTTGATCTTCAGTGATAAGGCAAATGAAGCTAGGAAAAATTAAATCTAATGATGGTTAACCGAGTCAGAATTTTAAAATCACGTTGTCTATAGCTGTACCTCACCAACAGTAGTGGTTCATAAGCTTCACTTTGCATCAGAATTACAAAGTGGCCTTAGCCCATTCCCAAGCCCCATTCCCCAAGATTCTGTTTCAATAGGTCTGGGACAGGCCTGACACTTTTCTGGCATGGGAATGGATCCAGGCAGGACATTTGCATGCTAAGCATTTGTTCTACCACTGAGCTGTGCCTACCCTAGAACTCTTACTTTGACAAGCATACCAGGTATTCTATGGAAATAGGGCTTGGCATTCTCTGGCCATGATTTCAAAGGACAGATTACCAGAGGAATTACCAGCAAGGAAACAGGAGGAAATGAGAATCAAAACCACATTCATAGTCTTTAAGTTTTCTAACTTAGTCTAGTTTGTTTTGCTGGGCCCAGTAACTTCTATTTTCCAGACTTCATTCTCTATGGCCCAAGTTTTGTGCTTCAGGGAAATTTCAAAAGCTCTATGACAAGGAATAGTCTTAGCTCCATAGAGTTCCCAAAAGAACACTGGCAATAGCTGCTGAAAGAAAACATTTCCTCCTAACATTACAAAATTAAGACACTCAGGAGGGGGCTGGGGGTTTAGCTCAGTGACACAAGCACCTGCCTTGCAAGCAGGCAGGCAGTCGTGAGTTTGGTCCCCGGTACCAATAAAAAGGAAAAAGACAAAAAAAAAAAAAAAAAAAAAGATACTCAGGAGACCAGGGGAATAAATACTATGTTTCACGAAGATGTATAACATAAAAGACACAGGACAATAGTGACCAGTTATAGGAGGTACCTATACCCTAGAATACTTTATTAAGACTTTATTGCTTATGCAATTAGAGACACTGATTGAGTTATAGAAGTTTCCTGTACCTGGTTCCAGGTCACTGCCCAGAGTCTCTCCAGACAGCTGAGAGTTGGGATACCACTAGGCAGGGGCAGGCTCCACAGTGGGAAGATGGTATCTCCCAAAATACTTAGAGGTGGCAGAGCGTTTTAAGAGGGCTCAGGAGTGTAGGCTTAAACCAAGGCCTGGGGCAACATTCCCTGAGACAAGTCAAGTTCCAGCCCCCTCTGGAGTCTCCAGACCAAAGGCTGGGTGTGGGAAGCAGCACTGTGGGGAGGGAACCACTGGAGATGGGGAAGGCTGGCAGAATGGCCTGGGTGATGGTTGTAGAATTTGTGGCAACTGAGCCTTCCTGCATGACTGGGAAGTAAATATTCCTTGGGGGAAGTCATGTACCAAGACTGGGCTGAAGCAGCCAGTACCATGCCCAGGGGTAGTGGTTCTGCCAGGCAAGAAAAGCCACCCATTACCCACACCATACTTTGAATAACTGTGTTCACACAGGATAAGATATGGAGCCTCCCCCATCAGAGATGGGGTTTAGTCTGGAAGAACTTGGGAGTATAGTGGGAAAGTTTAAGTCTTCTTAACCAAACCCACCCTTGATGTCTCCCAGGAATATCCTTTCACCCACTGCCTCCAAGGACTAACATGGCTGCTCTCCATTTCCCAGCTTTTCTCACAAGGCACTTGTTACAGGGCTACCGAAGAGAGGCCTGGAAGGAGGCTTTAGTGATGGTACAGGGTAAAAAAAATGACTGGAGATGGTCAGGGGCTAGTGGCTGCCATAGTACAGGCGCACAGACAGGCCAATGAGCAGCGTGGCCAGGAAGAAGGTGGCTGTGAGCTGCAGGTGAAGCAGGGCTGCTGAAAGCACTGCATTGACCACCAATGAACAGGACACAACGAAGAGGCGTGTGATGCTGCTGCCATGCTTCATGACAGCTGACATGAGCAGCCCATTGAGCGCCTGGCTGAGTACCACGAGCACTCCCCATCCTGAGAAACCCTCCAGGAGACCTGGCCCAGGACCACTGCCTGCATGCAGACCCAGGTTCAGGAGCACACCAAAAGTGTAGAGGAAGATGTTCTGCAGTGCCAGGGGAAGCCGCTGTCGCTTCATAAGCAGCTCTGTGTATACGGAGGACAGGCCTGAGATGAAGCAGTACAGGATGAGGAGCAGCAGTCCCAGGGGTGTGATATGCAGGGCCATGGTGCTGGCAACAGCTGCTGGAGGGGGCTCTGGAAGAGTGTTCACAGAGTCTTGAAGGCCACCGACTGCATAACAGGTCCCTGCGATCATCAGTAGCAATAGTGCCAACCCCTGGCGTGCAGAGAGGCGGTGCTGGAGGCAGAGGCAGTACAATAGGGCTGTGCTTCCAATCTTGAGATTGCTTAGTACCTGGTAGGTGCTGGGGTCCATATAACGTTGTAGATAGATCACGAGGTTGTTGTTGGCGCCATAGAGCAGGGCTGATAGTGCAAAAGGAGCAGCTTGACGCCAGGGTGGGCCCCCTGCGGGCCATGCTTGCCATCCCACCAAGAGGGACAAGGCGCATAACAGTAACTTGGTCAGCTCAGTGAGCAGCACAGCTGAGGAGGGATGGAAAGGTATTCGGCCATTCACATGGCACAGTGCCAACAATGGAGCATGGGCACCATACATAGCAGTGGACAGGAGTAGCATCAGGGTCCAACGGGCCTGCCTATGACGGCCAAGGCCTGGTACACCCCCCTCTTCTACACTCATGCCCCAATTATACTCCCAGTAGCCTGTTTAGCTAGCAAGGGACAAAAGGATTGGGACTTATTTGAGAGAAATCAAGTTATACAGCCAGCTCCCAAGAGGAAGGGGTTGTGCTACATTGCCAGAGAGAACACTGAAGATCAGAGTCAGCTGCACATTCCACAGTTAGGGCTAGAAGAGGAAGAGGCAGATGAACCATAGTCTTGGGGTCAGTGCCATTGAACCAGGGAGGGAAGAAATCCAGGGTACAGGCTGACAAGCCACTGTACAGCCTCTGCAGGAAAAAAGCAAAGATGAAGGTGGGAGGACAGATAGATGACAGCTGGGGAAGCCAGACAGAGTGTCTGTGGTCAAAAGACCCAGTTGCTTATCCTTTTTCCTCCATGGGATCTGGAGCTAGTCAGGCCCCTTGCGCAGTGATCGGAAATAGTCCCTTATTGTCTTCTCCACGTTGGGCAAAGCATATGCCTGAGCTGCATAGATGCCAGTGCAGGTACCCACCGCAAAACCCAGTACTGCTGATGCCCTCAGTTTGGCCACCACATAGCCGGCCAGGAATCCCTTGAGGAATGGGGAGGACAAGAGTGAGCCATCCTGCAGAGGAAGACACAGAAACAAACTCAGGCAGGCTCTCTCCTTTCTCAACCCAAGAACTACTCAAGCTGGGCTCAGCAATTATATTACTTGCCCCTCCTCATTCTGGATAGCTGTGGCATTTTCACTCAAGATTTTCTCAAGTGTCTGGAGTGAGAAAAAGAACTCGGAGGAGAGCTGATAATGCAGTCTCAGAATCCTGGAGTCATGCTGGGTGTGGTGGCACACACCTGTAATCCCAACACTCAGGAGGCTGAGGCCGAACTGGTGAAAGTGCAAAGGCCAGACTGGGTCACACAGTGAGTTCAAGACCAGCCTGAACTACAGCAAGACCCTGTCTCAAAAAAGAAAAAAAAAAAAAAAATTTCTGGGGTGAGAAGGTTTCAACCTTAGAATTTACTGTTAAGAAGGCCAGAGATGCTCCTAGGAAGTATAGCCTCATTTCCTGAAGTCAGGTCCCCCACTTCTCACACTGCAGCCAAACTGACCTTTTTCCCCCATGTCATGCTTATAATGCTACCTGTGCATATGTTGTTCCATCTGCATGGAAAGTTTATTGTTGCCGTGCTGCTACACTGACTAATTCCTATCTTGGTTACACCCTACTTAAGATTTTAGTTCAAGTATTATGTTCTTAGGGAAATTTTCCTGGGGGTGACTAAGCACAAGCCCTCAGTACCCATCTGGTAAATAAATTGCTACCTCTTATTCAATATTCTCAAAGCAAGCTGGGCAATGAAACAAGGCAAGTAGCATGACAGCCCCTACCTGGCCTACACCAGTGTTGACTTCATCTTCCACTCGCTGCTGCAGGCGCTCCAGCTGGTTCTTGAGAAATGCCAGGTCCTTAAGTTTGGGCAGAGAATCCTAGAACAAAGGAGAGGATTGGTAAGCAGACTGACCCAGCCCTGGCCCTTGCTCATTTCCATGAGGCTGGGAGTTGAGAAGAGTGTGGGTCTGAGAAATATCTTCCTATAAACCTTTTTGAGATGGCAGTAGTAAAAGAAACAAAGCATTAAAGCACAGAATTCACATGGGGACCAAGGAGAGGATAACAAATGGAATTTGCATCTGTAATCTGTGATGATCTCTATAGAAGTTTCATACAACAAGTAGTGTGTAGGGAAGGTAATAGATACCTTCACTTAGGCTAGGAAACCTTCACTTAGGTCTGAGAAAAGCACTTCTGACGAACTATGAGCTCTCTGCAAATGACCATCAGACTATCCTGCCTGCTGCGTCCCAGGTCCTGATACAGGGACTGGAAGGAACTTAGTAAATGTGTGGGTGATTTGCTGGGATTCTAGATCAGGAATAATGGACTGAAGCAGTTCCCTAGACAAGTGCAGGTACCCTTGTTTCAGCTAGGGCTTTATCCCTTTATTCCCAAGGCCATCCCGAACTGAATGGGAGCAATTAGAAGTAACAAGGAATGACCTTCGGCAGAAGTGTGAATAAATGAGTGATTCTGATCGCATGTAAGTATGAACTTAAGAACAAGGGAGTGTTTGAATAAAGGTGGTATGAGTGTGCCTGTGGACTAGAAATGTTGCCTCTAGGTGATAAGCGTGAATGGTTGCGTGTGCGCTAGTAATTGGGCTCGTGATGGTTGCCAGAAGGGAACACCTGGGAAGCAATGCTCTGCACAGCCCGCCTCACCTAAAACAGACCTCACGCCACCCTTCACCAAAGTAGTCAATAGAGCCCAGGCAAATTAAGGGGTATCCCAACCCCTGAGTCATATTCCCAAACTAAAAAGTCCTCCTTGAAACTAAAAAGGCCGTGAAGTGTAAAAACCAACCCTGACATAAGTTCAACTCAGATTCACTCACCTTGTCATCCGCCATCTTCCCCGCCGAACTTGTTGCGCAGGCGCAGACCCACCTCCCTCCTGCCAAATGCCGCAGCCATCTTTACTGAGGGCGAAGGCACTTCCGGGGCATTTCGGGAAAGGGTGGGGTATTTTCCTAGCCACCAAGCACAAGCTGTCCTTTCATCCCCCCCACCCCCCTGCAGATAGTTTCACGTGACCTTCCTGTAGCTTTCTGGGCTGTGTGTGTGCGCGCGCAAATGATTCCGCGATGATCTCACTGGTGCGCGAGTGCGCGAGGTGCACGTTCGCTTTGCTGATTTTCCGCTGGCTGCTGAGCTCATAGCTGCGCGGTGGTGTCAGCGATTTGGTTGGCGTCTGTGCTGCTCCAATAGCCCCACGCACGGAAACACGCACCCACTCGAGGCTCCAGGCACCCCTCCCACCTTGGCAGGCGGTGCTGCTCAGGCCCGCCCCTTTCCGCGAGCCGGCCACTGTCCTACCCAGTGTTTGTGCGGCGCCAGTTGGCTTGGCGGTCTCCGGCGCAGAGAGGCTGGGCTTGCAAGCGCAGCAGCTCCTGAGGTCGCGCTGGGCAAAGAGTGCTGGCCGGCGGGGACGCGGCGGGGCAATGCTGGGCAAGGATTACATGCTGGCCATCATTCTGGTTAACTGCGACGGTGTGCACTGAAGGGCCTTATGGGAGGACTAGGGGTTGAGGGGAGATGCGGGAGAAAGGCTGCAGCTCCGGAGACTCAAAAACAGGGTAGGGGGTTCGTCTCCGTGTGAGGACAAGGGGACAAATAAGCCCTGATCTTGCAGTCTTTGAGATTGGGGAGCCTAAAGTTTTAGCCTAGGGGCTACACTTCTGAAATGGTGGGAGGATAATAACGAGGTGTTCTGAAATCATGAATAATATGCCCCTCCTCTGCAATGTCTTGTTCCTATAGATGACTTGTGGGGGGACCAGAGTCTGGAGGGGGAGCCAGGCCTGCCCCCTGGCTGGAGGAAGATTCGTGATGCTGCAGGTACTTACTATTGGCATGTACCCAGTGGTAGCACCCAGTGGCAGCGCCCAGCCTGGGAACTAGGAGATGCAGAGGACCCAGGCACGGTAGGTGAAGTGTAAGGAGCGGGACCTGAGCTCAGGTGTGGACCGAGGCCTCCTGCTATACTGACTAACTCCTACTCTGCAGGGCCAGAAGGGGGTTTGGGAACTGCGACCCCCCAAAGGAAGATCTTTCTCCAGCCTGGAGAGCTCGCTGGACCAGAGGTAACAGGAATGGCCCAAGCAAAATGAAAGGTTTGAGGTTCCATAACACTCAAAAAATGCAGCTCTGATCTGGGTGTGGCGGTGCACGCCTATAATCCCAGCACTATGAGGCAGAGGCAGGAGGATCACAAGTTTGAGGCTATCCTCGGCTACACAGTGAGTTCAAGGCCAGCGTGAACTGCATAGTGAAATCCTCTCAAAAAACAACAAATCACTGGACCTGCACTCTGTTTTTCAGCTCAGGTTCTGGATTCTCTCATTCTGGGCCCTGTTTTGTGCTTTTGGCTTTGTCCTACATTCTTGATTCTTATTTTTGGCCCTTGTTTTAAGTTCTTAGCTACATTCTTTTTTCCATATTGTAGTCCAGACCTTTCATATTCTAAACTTGGCCGTTGTCTTAGTTTCCGTGGAATATCCTATCCTGTGTTTTTGGGTCTCATCCAAGTTTTGGGCTCTTATCCATGTTTTGGATGTTGCTACACATTTGTAGCTTTTATGTCCCGGGGTCTGGGTCCTGTGTCCTGAAGTTTCCCTCAAATGTCAGGCCATATATTTACATAATTTAATATTTCCTGTGTTCTACCCTGCTCAGGTTTTATATTTGTGGAGTTATATTTTAGGTGATGTCCCAAGCCCTGTGCTGATTAAGTAACCTGAGCCTCACTCTTGCCCTTATTACAGAAAGTGTGGTTATCACAAGCTGTGTTCTCTATTCTAGTAATTCTCTGACCTGGTATGGTGAAGAATCCTATATCCAGAGTCTGGAGCCAGGGACTAAGGTAGTGATTTGGGGCTCAGGGCACTGGGGACCTAGAACATTGAGAAATTCCAGTGGAAATTCCAGTGGAAATTCCAGAGGGATGCAGCTGGGCTGAGCAGAGATCATCAGGGGTGGAGGGAGGGACTACCATTTGTATGGGTGGAGCCTTGGGCATTTGACAACCTGTTCCACCTGTACTCCTTCCTCTCCTTTTCCCCAACTGGTCAGTGTTTTGCAGTCCGCTCTTTGGGTTGGGTAGAGGTACCTGAAGAAGACCTGGCACCAGGGAAAAGTAGTATTGCAGTCAATAACTGTATCCAGCAGCTGGCCCAGACACGCAACCAGAGCCAGCCCCGAGATGGTGCTTGGGGTGAGGTGAGTTGTTTTGCCCCACATGGGGTTCAGTGTATGACCCAGCAGAGATAGTTGTCCCTGAACTGCCTATTCTCCATGACAGTCACCTTTATTCTGATCTCTGGGTGAACTTCTGTCCTCGGTAGGGCCAGGACATGCTGATGATTCTAAAGAAAGATGCCATGAGTCTGGTGAATCCCCTGGACCACAGTCTGATCCACTGTCAGCCTCTGGTGCACATCCGTGTATGGGGCGTGGGCAGCTCCAAGGGCCGGTGAGGACTTCTGTATCCCCCAAGGAAGAGCTGCTTCTCCCTCCCCTTGCAGGCTGTGATACCCACTGATGCTGATCCCTTGTACTTGAACCCCTGGACACAGATCCTGATATGAACCCAGCACTGCCTCCCCTGCCTGGTCCGGCCCTGATTGGGGAGGGTGGGCCCACCTCTGCAGGGACAGATAGGGGAGATGCTGAGAGACTGGGCTGATTCTCTCCTGTGCTCCCACATGCTTCTGGAACAGTGACAGGTATGTGACAACCTTGTACCTTGAACCCCAGCTCTGACTTCTCTACCCCATTCTTACCTTGTCCCTAGGTTGACATTAAAAGCCCCTTGTAGGCATTATAGGTTCCTGTCCCTAACCAAGTCTACTACAGCCCCATTTCTGCCTCTGCCAGGGACTTTGCTTTTGTGGCGGGTGACAAAGACAGCTGTATGCTCAAGTGTCACGTATTTCACTGTGATGTTCCTGCCAAGGCCATTGCAAGTGCTCTACATGGGCTTTGTGCCCAGGTAAGGGCCAGGGGTGGGGCAGGGAATGTGGGTATGGAGCTAGGAGTGAAGCTTCTGGGGTGGTTGACTCCCTCCCCCTCCCCTGGGCCTTATGCTGACCACATTGTTTTAGATCTTGTCAGAACGAGTTGGGACCAGTGGTGATGGTGCTTGCTGCTCCCCAGACCCCATCTCCCCTGAAGACCTTCCTCGACAAGGTGTGAGGAGGGAGTTGCTGCACTTGTAGCTGCTTTGGGGAAAGATGCGAATGATGGAGAGAGGTGTTTTCTGGTTATTTAAGACTTTCCTTGAGATATGTCTTATCCCAAGGATCTGAGCCAAGGGATTCCAAGCCCTGAATTAGAGGCATCCATTGGCTTTCCTCTAGTATAACAGTTCTGGCCTGGGTCTGGACCATTCAGAAGGTTGGGGAAACGGGGAACTGAGGGAGTTCCTGGCCAAAGTGGTGTGTATATTTCAGCGGAGCTGTTGGATGCGGTGAGCCAGGCTGCTCAGAAGTATGAGGCATTGTACATGGGGATCCTGCCAGTCACCAAAGCCATGGGTGAGAATGGGGGTGGGGGTGGGGCTGGATGGGCAGGATGACATAAATCAAGGGGAAGGTGGGTGAGGTGGGCTCAATCACCATTTGTCGGAGTCCTCCCATGGCTGTACACAGCCTTGGATGTACTGGCTTTCCCAATTTAGAATTCTAAGCCCAGTCTCTGTTATCCTCTTCCCATTCTTTCCAAATCCCAAGTCAGTAAGAGGGACCTCGATATTCTTTATAGACTCCTTTTTTTTTTAACCTTTGGGAGATACCACAGTGGGCATGTCCTTCCAGGCATGGATGTGCTGAACGAGGCCATTGGTACCCTCACCGCTCGGGGGGACCAGAACACCTGGGTTCCTGCCATGCTCAGTGTATCTGACTCTGTCATGACTGCACATCCTATTCAGGTACCACAAAACGATGAAGTTGGGGACTATGGAGGGTGATCTGGGATGCTGAGGGAGCCATTGCTGCTGGAAGAGTGGGTCCAGCCAGTGCTTGGACCACTAGTGACTAGGTATGATGTGGGCAGGCAGAAGCCAGTGCAGAAGAGGAGCCACTGTGGCAGTGCCCTGTGCGCCTTGTGACTTTTATTGGTGTTGGCCGTGACCCACACACATTTGGCCTCATTGCTGACCTTGGCCGTCAGAGCTTCCAATGTGCAGCCTTCTGGTGCCAGCCCCATGCTGGGGGACTCTCTGAAGCTGTGCAGGCTGCCTGTATGGTGAGTTAGGGGTGAGGGTAGGTGGGTGGGAGGGGTGGTATTGCTTTTCCGCTGCTCTGTACTAGGGACTGAGCTCAAGATCAGCAGGTTCTCTACAGACCACAAGTATTTTGGGCCTCATTCAGTTTTTAGTCAGTATGGTTATATCCTAATATTTAAAGGCCAGGACATTTTATATAATAATTGCTATGCCTGGTTTTCTGACAAGGTTTATATATACATTTCAGCATGCACATGCAGTTGTGAGGGGCTATGCCTATATGACTGGCATTATCTTTCCTGATTGTCTCATGAAGTTATTTCTTGACAGCTGTGATCATTTAAACATGTACTGCTTAAGAATTAGTTCATTTACTCATTAATCAAATAGGAGTACATACTATATGTACAATACTTTACTCTGGGAATTCAGCAATATAGAAGGTACAGCCTTTGCCTTTACAGAGCACTTAGGTTAAAGCAGAAACACACCAGGAAGTTGTACACCACCAGATGATGAAAGAGATGCCCTTTTAAGGGTCAGGAAGGCTACCTGTAAGAGGTGATAGAAAATTGAAAGGCCCCAAGAGAAAGGTAGCCAGGTGAAGGGGAGTAGGGTAAGCATGCCAAGCACAGCCGTGTGAGAGAGATGTTAGTGGATTAGTGTATCGGAAAGAATCTAGTGTGTGTGGTGTGTAGGGAAGATGTAATGAGAGTAGAAGGCAGAAACCTGGTAATGGAGAAGCTTATAGTCAGAGTGGTAAGTTCATTTTGTCCTGAGACATTAGAAGCCATTGAAGGATTTTGAGCAGGACAGTGAACTCGGGTTTGTGGATTAGGACAACCACTTAGGCTAGAGAAAGTGTGAAAGATTTTGAAGACATACAGATTAGAGGCAGGGAAGTAATTTAGGATCCCATTTGAGTAGTTCAAATGAGAGATAATTGGGGCAGATGTATTGCCTATTATATCTGCTTTGCCAGGGAACTAGTCCATTCTAGTGAGAGATGGAACAGAGGCAGCATAGTGGTAGATGAAGTTAAAGAGTATGTGCTACAATCAGATAGAACTATCTGTTTTATCTGTACAATCAGTTCTGATTGTTGAACTAGGTTTGAGTGACAAGTCTACTATTTTGTGGCTGTGACCTTGGGCAAATCTGTTTTCTCCGCATCTCAATACTCCCATTTTCAAACTGGGGATAATATCACCTTATAAATAACTGGATAAAGTTAAATTATTGTACAAAGGACAAAGTGTCTAACCCTCCTTAAGTGCTTAGTAAATGCAAAGTTCTGTAGTTTATGTGTTAAGCTGTCGAGGAATACTGTAGGGTCTGCTGATGTACCAACTGTCAGCCTTGTATCAGACAGAAACCTTGGCCAGCTTTCTGCACTGCAGAAGCTTTTGGAGAAGCCAGGGGTAGAGAGTAGCCAGATCCTCATGTTCCCCTTCTCCCTAGGTTCAGTACCAGAAGTGTCTTGTGGCCTCTGCAGCTCGAGGCAAGGCTTGGGGTGCCCAGGCCCGTGCCCGCCTTCGACTCAAGCGGACCAGCTCCATGGACTCCCCAGGAGGTCCCCTGCCTCTCCCCCTACTCAAAGGAGGGGTTGGGGGTGCAGGGGCAGCCCCTCGAAAGCGGGGTGTCTTCTCTTTTCTTGATGCCTTTAGGCTGAAACCCTCTCTCCTTCATATGCCCTAAAGTGATGTTAGCGGGCTGGTGAAGTAAGCTCTGAATCCATGTCCAATTCTATACCTCTCCATTCCCCAGGGGCCTCAGCCTCTCACCTATCTTCCTGCTCCTGCTCCTCATCCACTCATTATTTATTTCCCAATTTATTATTTATATCAATGACTGAGAGGACCTACACTACCACTTAGGCCCCTGGATGCCCTTTCCTTTCCTTGGGTCCTTGTGTTCCTTGCCCCATCCAGCCCTGGGCAGTTGGCTCTACCTCAGCAACACTTGATAGCAAATCAGTGCAAATAAAAATCCCTCAGTGACCTCACTAGGTGTGAGTATATTGGTCCTGGGATAGGGTTGGGGGCGAACAACCCATGTGAAAGATGTGTTTGGCTTTAGTGGCTGCCTGTAGGCACATGACAGTGTGGATGTGATGGAAGTCTAACCTCGTTTATTCAACATTTCTAAGGTCTCTGTGAGGCATTAAGCAAAGCATTGAGAAAGTACTTGAGAGGCCTATTACTGAAGAGGTGAACAGAAGACAAACGAGGTAGAAAATATGTAGGACAGCTAGAAAGTTTCAAAGGGTTGTGGGAGCTTGGGTGACACTTAACAGTGGCCTAAAGCATTACAGGAGACTTCCTGAAGAGCTGACATCTAAGTATTGAAGGAAGATGAGAACTTGTTAGCGAGCCTAGGGGACAGTGGACAGAGGTAAGGCTCCAGAAACCGGGGTTTACTAGATCACAGAGAAACATACACGGACCAGCTTTTTGGCTTGAATTTGCCCTTTAGGACAAATGTGATTGGAGCCTGAGATAGGGCTAGGGCTTTAGGTGCACGAGATCCTTGGAAAAACATACTCGCTTGGTGCCTTGTGACCATGACCCCATGGACTATTAGCTGAAGGAGATACCTAGCCCATAGGAAAGTGGTGCACAGTCTTGCTGACAGCGGCTGGTGCGAAGCACTGGCCAATCTCAAGGGCCCACAACCGCCGGCCGAGCGGCCGGCAGCAGAGCGGCCGCCCCGGAAGTGACACGCTGCCCCGCTGGCGGTGCGGAAGTGGAGATGGCGGAGCTTTACGTGAAGCCGGGTGAGAGCTCGGCCAGAGCGCGGCTGTCGGGGTGGGGGCGCGCAGTTTGTCTCCCTGAGCCCCAGTATAACCTTGGGCGGCGGAGTCCGGGTCTCGCTTTACATTTCCCCTCGTCTCTGCAGGCAACAAGGCGCGCGGCTGGAACGATCCGCCGCAGTTCTCTTACGGGCTGCAGACCCAGACTGGCGGACCCAAGCGCTCGCCGCTCACTAAGAGGGTCGCCGCCCCCCAGGATGGATCCCCTAGAGGTGCGTGGGGTCCCTGTGCGCGGAGGCCCGCGGAGGATAAGGCGGTTCCAGGGTCAGCTTATCCCCTGGGCGTTTTACTCCTCCCACGGCTCCATAAAGAGGTTGGGACCCTAGGAGCTTTTCCGAGTTTCCCTTCTGCTACGCAAGTCAGTAAGTGAAATTTTGATTAAAAAAGTACCCTATGTTTTCATCCTATGTGATCTCTGCGAGACTATCCCGAATTATGTTTACATTACTTTTTTTTCTCTTTCTTTCCTTTTTTTTTTTTTTTTTTTTTTTTTGGGCACCGGGCCTCGAACTCATAACCTCGCTCTTGCCAAGCAGATGCTAATGCCACTGAGTAAATTGCTGGCCCTACTTAAAATTTTTTATCTAATGTAGACCTCTTCTCAGAATCTCATGTGTTTATTTTTATGCCTTCACTTGGGTATTATAATAAGCACCTCATACTTAACGTGTCATTCGTTCATTCAATCAGTATTTTTTACTAAGCACTCATTAAGAGGGCAAACGAAACTGTAGGAAAGACAAATAGGCTGTGTTTTCATGAAGTCTATACTGTAGTGCTGAAGAATAAACTGGTAATAGATAAATTGGTAAGGACTTGAAGAGAAAACCGGGTGATGTGTTACTAGGTAACTAAATGAGCTAAGAGGCTGACATTTGACATCTGCATGATGAAATCAGCCATGCAACATCCCAGCACTCAGAGAAGGCTGAGGCAGGAGGAACACAAGTTTGAGTCTAGCCTGGGTAACAGAATGACTCTGAAATCCTATTTAAAAATAAAAAATTTAAAAAGGGCTGGGGCAGTGGTGGTGCTAGCCTGTAACCCTAGGATTCTGGGAGTCTTAGGAGGATTGCTGTGAGTTTGAAGTCAGCCTGGGCTACATGGTGGTTTAACAACAGTCAGATACAAAAAAAAAAAAAAAAAAAAAAAAAATATATATATATATATATATATATATATATATATATATATATGCTGGAGATATATGTAATTCAATGCCAAGATCCGAGGTTCAGAAACCACCCTCAGTCGGACTCAGGAGTATTTGAGGGATAAGAAACAGCTAGCCCAAGGCCCTCAGAAGACGTTTGGTCAGTTCAGAGACTGGTGGAATAGAATGGCTCAGTGTAATAAATTTTGCCAGGATAGAGTTGGAAGGCACTGAAAAGTTAAAGGCTGTGCCCCGCCCCCCTGAATTTCCCAGAACAGTAAGTGAGCTGAAGTCCTCAGGTTTCATTCTTTCAGCCTCCCTCTACCCTTTTCCTCTGCAGAGGAATGATACAGGGTAATGGTGGCAAACCTACGGGTATGTGCTGCAGCAGACTGTATCACTTCTGAAAGCTGTAAGAGGTTCACCTTCACTGATATAGGGCATAGTTTTTAACTTTAACGTAACTCTGCTGTTATGTTGGTCTAGATTATTACTGTTTGGGGGACTGTCTGTATTGTGTAGGCTCTTGAGCAGAAACCCTGACCTCTACTTAGTAGCACCTACCCAGAAGTGTCCAAGCAGCCCCTGAAGCAAAATCTCCCCAGTTTAAACTGGAGATTTACATCTTTGAAAAATCCCAGTGAGAAGCAGGATGTAGTTTAGTAGTAGGGCCCTTTCTCTATTACTCTGTATAAGGACATGTGTCTGATTCCCAGCATTTGGGGAAAAACAAGATTTTTTGTGAAGAAATGGAAAGATAAATCAAGAAATTATTGTGTTAATATGGCAAGGTTTAATGATTTCACAAGGATAGTAGTTATAGGAGTGGTAGGGATTGGACGATGGATATGTTGTGGAGAAAGGAATGATAGAGGAGTAGTCAGTATTTCATTTTTTTCTGATAAAAGATTGCGGGACAGTTTTTTTTTTTTTTTTTTTTTTTTTTTTTTAGGGAAAGGAAAGAGGCTTATGGTTTGGATCATGTTAAGGCTATCTTTGGGAGAAGTCTAGGCCAGAGTTAGAAAAATAGCCACATGCATATGGATATTTGATGTCACAGGCTTGAATAAGGTTACATAAAGTGTGGATAGAGGCGTAATGGGGATCCAAGACAAGTCCTACGCCTTTCCAGCATTTCAAGGTTATCGAGGGAAGGAATCAACACAGAAGACTGAAAAGTAGCCAGAGAAGAACATGAGAGAGTAAAAATAACTCAGAAGTGAAGAATGCTGCTGGGAGGTCAAGCAAGATTAAGGGACCATTAAATCTGGTAAACACTGCAATTGTTAAGGTGACCTTAACAAGAGCGGTCTCTGGATTTGGTAAAACCAAACTCAGCTGCAATGGCCTGAAGATAATATGAAAAAAACCAGAGTAATTATAGACAGTTCAATCAAGAAATTATGTTAAGTAGAGTATATGAAAGAATGTGAAGTAAGAGTATTATTTTGGGCAGTACTGTGTATACTACAGCATGTTTATATGTTGATGAGTAATTCAGTAGAACCAAAATTGATGATGCAGGAGAAAAGGGATAATGGCAGGAGGGAGGTCTAAAGATATGAGAGGCTGGCTTGCAGACTACAGCTGGTGAGATGGTTTTGATAGCAGCAGGAACTTTTCATCTAATACAGGAGGAAGAAAGTAGCTACAGATGCATGTAGGTGGGTTAGTAGAACCAGTGGAGGGAAGATGAGAGAGTTCCTGTTTGATGACCAGTATTTTCTCAATGAAAAATGAGGCAGTGTCAGATGTGTAAAGACTGTAGAGAAAGGCAAAAGATGAAAAAATAATTTTGAAGGCTGGGAAGATGAAGCAGTGTTGCGCACCTTTTAAAATCTGTGGCCATGGAAAGTATTAAATTAGTGTAACAGCATGGTTCTGTTTCTCCTCATAAATACAAGCACTGGTTTTAGCATTAGAATGGAGGAAGGAGGGAGGAAGAGAGTTTTATAAGGGAGCTGTTGTGGTACAAGCCTGTAATCCCAGCACTTTGGATATTAGGCAGGACATCACAACAAGTTTGAAGCTAGACCAGGCTATTGTCCATGACCAGCCTGAACTACACTGCAAGAGCCTGTCTCAGAGAGAAAATATTTATAAGGGACCAATTTTTAATTCCCCACAATATCTGAATAGTTGAGCTGGAAAGCTGGAAAGCAGGATATAGTGCTGTGAGCAAAACAAAGGGGAATGAACAGATGGGACAGAATGATCATGGATTAACAGTGGTCCGTAGCCCAGAGGCTAAATTATTAGATGCATTAATTAATCCTTGTAGATGATGATGCCTAAAAGTTCTTGCCTTTCCTCTTCTAGTCTTTCTCAGGCACTGAAATCAGGAACTAAGTCATCTAGACTCCTCTTCCTCACTCCCAACCACCATGTCCTGGGTACTACACCTCCTCCTACATAGCATTCCAGACAACTCCATTTCCAATCCTCCTTCATCTTACTCTATGTCGGCATTCCCATTAACTGTCTGCTGTGCCTGCCTCTGTGTGTGTTGTGTTGTGTGTGTGTGTGATGCTGGGGATCAAACCCAGGGCCTTGTGCAAGGAAAGAACTCTACCATTGAGCCAAATCCCAGTCTCCATTCTTCACCTGTTAATCAGTTTTTCTCAGAGCATCCATCTTACTAAGCAAGTCTGGCCACATTACTCCTTGCTTTTATAAAGCTGTGGTGGCTTCTCAGGACTGTTTAGTTTAGGACCAGACAACTCAGTATCAGGATTCTGTCATTAATCTCTCCAGTAACAGCTCATATTACTTTCTTCAGTGCTGATAATTTCCAGCCACAGACCTTGTTTCTCCCCTTCAACAAGACTGTTCATGCCTTTTGAGCATTGCTCTTAGCTCTACATAGTACTACTTCTTTAATCTCTTCATAGCTGCATTTATTATATTCCTTACTTCTCAATAAAAACTGCAAACTTTTGAGTATTTTTTGCAACACAGTATCTATCAGCTGCACCTATATTCATAATAGTTACTATAATCTTGTGAATGTCATAACTAGGTATAATACTCCATTTACCTTAGAGGAACCCAAGTTTAGAGGTTAGAAGTAACTTGGTGATCATAGATCACAGAACTGAGGTAAGCTTACCAAGCTTTCCTTGAATAGTTGATATAGGTCCCTATATTCCTCTTTATCACATACTCTGTAGTGTATAATTTGGTAATTTTCTCGTGGTATTTTTTTTCCCCCTTTCCAACTAGATCATAAATTCCTGAGGTCAGTAAATAAACCAGTCTTGGTACATGGCAAACTATTTAATAGGGACTTTATATAATTTTTTTCTTTTGTAGTACTTGGGCTTAAGCCTAGTGTCTTCACACTCAGCCCTTTTTTTTAGTGTGTGACTGGGTCTCACTAGGTTGCCCAGACTGGATTCAAATTTGTGATCCTTCTAGAATACTGGGACTACAAATTTGTGCTACTATACTTAGATTTCCCCCACCTAGTCCTGGGAAGTTAAACCTAGAACTTTTTATATGCTAGAAAAACACTTTACCACCTAGCTGTATCCCTAGGCTTTCTATTTTTTTGAGGGGGTCCAGGGTCCGTCTTGCCAAGTTGCCCAGGCTCTCCTTGAACTTGTGATCACCATTTATTTCATTCCTCAGCCTCTTAAATAGTTGGAATTATAGGTCGGTATCATCGTACCCAGCTTTTATACACATTTCTGAATGAGTTGTCTCATCGACTTTCTTAGAAGTGAGTTTAGAATAGTTTCTTATCTATTAAGCCATGTCGCTTGATTCTGCTTTACCTTTTCAGTTGCTACCTCAGAGACCTCTGGGCCCCCTCCAATGGGGCCTCCACTTCCTTCAAGTAAGGCTCCCCGGCTCCCGCCTGTGGGGAGCTGCCCTGCCTCCAGTGTGGAACCCATGGGCTTCCCAGACATTGAATCTGAGGCTTTGATAGAGGATGTGTTGAGACCTTTGGAACAAGCTTTGGAGGACTGCCGTGGCCATACAAGGGTAAGCCCTGGCACTCCAAGGGTGGAAAAGAATCCTATCCACAGCCAAATGCAGCTGTGTCTGCCCAAGGAAGACCTTCTGGGCAATGGCTCCTAATTGTTTAACAGTTATAGGCCCCTTCAGAATCTGTTAAGGTTTACCCAGGAAAATGAAAACAAGATTTAAAGAGAGTTCACAGAACTTCTCAGTCATAATGGCTTATGGAAGAACAGAATTCGGCTCTCATTAGTAAAAATAGCAGCTAATTTTTTGTATCTCCAAGTCATTCAGAGCACACAATTCCAACTGGGCTCAGAGAATTTATGTTGCGCTCAGTTAGAGAAAGAGTAACCTACCTTCCTAGTGTTTTCTAAGCTCTCTGGAAACAGGAGATCAAGGAAAGGGGAAGTAACGTGATAATTTTACCTTTCTGATTTTTTTTTTGTACCAGGGATAGAACTCATGACCTCACACTTGCCAGGCAGGCACTTATGCCGCTGAGCTATATACCTGGCTTACCTTTTTGATTCTTGTTTTCTTATCTGTGAAATAGCATGATAATCTTCTAAGAAGTCTCTGAGATTTAAAAATTCTAGCCATATCTGCATTTTTTCTTGGGAGGAGATCCATAAACTTCATCAGGTTTTCAGTGGGGACTTCTAACTTTTACGTAAAGAATCAGAACTCTAGCATAGAAGTCTAGGCCTGAGAAAGTAGGTGCTTCCTAAAAGGTGCTGACTTTCCATCTCTCTGCTGGGCCGGCAGCACTGAGTGAAGGGGCTTCTGTCTCTCAGAAACAGGTATGTGATGACATCAGCCGACGCCTGGCCCTGCTTCAGGAACAATGGGCAGGAGGAAAGTTGTCAATTCCTGTAAAGAAGAGGATGGCGATACTGGTGCAAGGTATGGGTGGGTTGCTTAATATACTGGATGTCCCTTGTGCCGCCATAGTTGGCTGAGCTGAACAGGTACTGCAACTGTAACTTACTGGGAGGAGAGGCATGGAAGCTGCTGCCTCTTTTATCCCAGTCTGGTTGCTCACGTTCTCTCTCCTCAGAGCTTTTAAATCATCGGTGGGATGCAGCAGATGATATCCATCGCTCACTCATGGTTGACCACGTGACTGAGGTCAGTCAGTGGATGGTGGGAGTTAAACGATTAATTGCAGAAAAAAGGAGTCTATCTTCAGTGGAAGAGACAAATGAAGAGAAATCTGAAGCAGCAGCTGAGATCCAGACCATACCAGGCTTTCAGGAGGCTCAATAATCCTGGAGATTCCCCAGACTCACACAATCTGCTAGGCCTTGGTGAGAGAGGTCTTCTCTCAGTTGGCTCCCTTTTACTACCAGAGACACTATCCCATTGGGTCTGGGCTGCAGAGGGGTCACTTGTAACTATAACATGTGTATTTTAATAAAAAACCATCTTGGTGGTGGGCAGTGGGCAGGAAACTGGTGCCTTCTGATGCTAATGGTCCCATACTCTGGTTTTCTGTACTCCCGCCTCCATTCATTGTAAGCCTTGCTGTGCTTGGCCAGACTGCCATTGGCAACTTTTCCCAAAATTAAACTGAAGAGCATATTTGTTGCTATGTGGAACACCCCTATCTTTAGATGATTTCATCTCAACATGAGAACAAACTGAGACAGCACAGGGAGATTTTGCCCTGAAGAAAAGTACTTCTGTTTGATTTTTTTTTGTACCAGGATCAAACTCACAACCTTGCACTTACCAGGCTAGCGCTTAAGCCACTGAGCTAAATCCCCAGCTCCTGTTTGATTTTTGTTTTGTCTTTGAAGACAGTCTCACTATGTAATTCAGGCAGGCCTTAAAGTCAATGATTCTCCTGCATCAGCCTCCTTCGTACTGGGATTACAGGCATATGCCACTATACTTAGCCAAGACTCCTTTTTGTACTGTATCATCTTTGATGTATACAGATGCTAGAAAGTAAAATTAAGAGTGAAATATCTGCTGTATAAGTTTTTTTAAGATAGGATTTCACTGTACAGTTCAGGCTGGCCTTGAACTCACTATGTAGCCCAGGTTGGCCTCACAGTTGCAGTTATCCTCCTGCCTCAGCCTCCCAAGTACTGGGGTTACAGACATGTACTACCATGCCTGGTGCCTGCTGTATAAATTGAAAGAGAAAAATACCAGATTATTTCAATTGGAATCATAACTGACTCACCAAGCAAGCTGCTAATTTTAAGTGCCAGTGTGAGCACTAATGTCACAACTCTGTGACTATGGCTTGGCAAGAGGGGGTTGTCGTGGTAGATATGCTGTGAGAAGGGAGGGTACAGGCTTTTCAGTGTTGGAATGGGAATTGGCACCTACTGCAAAGGCAGAAAAGGGGAAAGTCAGAGTTCCATAGGCTAGGGATGCCTCTCCTGCTTAAGAATGTATAGAGTCCTGCTTAAGAATGTAAAGAAGTGCGGCCACAGGGAGGCCTAATGCCAGGAAGGCTGCTTCCTTAGAAGACTGGAACAATAACTAGAAGTGCAGGTTGTTGATGTTTAGGGTTTGGCAATTCCTGTAGCTTGCCTTAGGGTGTAACTGCTGCTGAAAGTGATCCCAGTGGGAACTGTGAACAGATCTGGGGCCTATTAACTAGCACTGCTGGGGCCCTCAGCTTTGTGGCTGAAGTGAGATCAGTATTGAGAACAATGGAGCCAAGACATTTCTTTGAATGTTTACTAAGCAGCCCAAAAGTGACACACTCTCTCCCCCAGTCCCAGCTCTGAGCACGGAGGACTGGAGGTTGGGATGAGTATCTATAGACCAAAGAGAGCTAAGGGCCTGGCAAGTTGCCTGCTCCTATCCCTGGTCTAGCTGCCTCAGAACTAAAGGAGGCCCAGAACCAAGTCACCCTTTCCCTATTAGATGAGGCAAGCTGGCTTTTGAATACCCTAGGAAGAGGTGGTGGCAGCAGCAGCAGCATGAGAGATCCCTCTATGGATAACTCCATTCACGGGGTCATCTGTACAGAGTTAGATGTCCATTTCAAACTGTGCATCATCTGGAGAAAGAAAAGGTAAAACTAGTTGCTGGACTGAAGGACTGCAAGCACAGTATCTGTGCAGAAACTCCTGCAATGGAGCTCCCATTCCACAAGGACGTTTAAACCCAAGGGCTAGGCATTTCTTAATTTTAGTTATGGCTTTCCTTACCGGGTATCTCTTGCTCTGTCTCCTTCTGTTCCTTCAGCAACTCCAGCTTGGAGGGTGGAACAGTTGGAATTGTTACACCGGGAATCTGAGGAAGGCAGCAGGGGGGTGTCCGAGCAATGGGTGAGTTCTTGCATTCCAGCAGGAACTTTCTGTCGTAGATGATCCTGGTGCCTGTTGAGTGGTAGGGGCTTATGTAAGGGTCAGGAAATAGGATATACAGGTGACCAGGGTCCTAGACAGAGCCTTTTAGGGGCTGGCAGGTTACATCACATTGACCTGTGTTTCAAAAGACACTTGCTTTGCAGCCCAGCCAGGATCTTAACAAGAATCTTACAAGCCTATACAGCACTGACAGAATTCCAGGTGTAACTAGGTATCTAAGCACCATAAAGCAAGTGGGACATTGTAGCTAGTTCAGGCAGTTTCAGGTCTTGTTTCTTACAGGAGCACTAAACTCAGCTCAGGTATTTAAGGCTGCACCTCTAATGCTCTGGAGCTTCCTTGCTTTGGGTCACAAGGCCTTGCTTCCAGCCTCAGATCAGAAAGTCAAATAGTTGTGAGGCGTTTCGTGCAGTGTTGCCAGCTAGGCTCTTATCTCCTGCAGGGAGAAGCCATGCCCCTGCTTACCTTGTGAAACACTGGGACACACTGTTCTAATTCTAACCCCTCCCAAGTCCTATAAGCCTCAGCCTAGCCCAAGAGGAACTTGGCCAGCCTGGTGACCTCAAAGCGCACCTCCTCCCCACCCACGTGGCAGGAACCCGGGTCGCGAGCCCAGCAGCTCATGATTCTAGGCTGCTGGCCCAACCAAATAGCCACGGGGCGGCCACACACACCGAAAGCCCATTTTCCCTTCCCTCAACTGCTCAAATGGCTTCTTCACAAGACCTTGGGCTTTTGAGGGCTCGTTCAGGCCAAAGCTCCTACTCCCAAGACAATACAGGAGGAGGAACAAGCGTTTGCAAGGCGTCCAGAACCCAAGCCACAGTAAGGAATTATAGCCTAGTCACCCAGAAGATAGACTCAAGGCACTGTTGTACCACTTTCAGGTTTTTGGGAACTGTTTTAGGCTTTGGACATCCTCCCCAAAGCTACAAGCTCCACAGCAGCCTCCGAACTAGTCCAAGACCCACAACTCGCCACCCCGACTAGTAACAGCACACCGGCACTCTCGCCAGTACTCCGCTGACCCTGGCCCCGCCCGCTGACCTCCTGGGGTCGTGGCGTACAGCGTGCCTCCAGGCGTAGTGCAGTAACAGTCTGGCAGCGGGTCCCGGCCGCTAGGAATGGGGCAGCTCGTGGACGTGGACATTGCAAGCGAGAGGAGCAGGAAGGTAACCGACAGCTGCTTCAGTCGTGGAGCGCTGCTTTACCAGAGTCTCAGGCTACTCAACCGACCACGTGCAGCAGAAGGCAACAACACTATGACAATGACGTCACGCCCGGGGCGGGTCAACCGCCGTCACTCAATAGGGCAGCCCCGCCTACTAGCAAGTAAGCCCCAGGTCTACGGAAGAGCATGAAAAAAAGTGCCAGGCACTGCACCGGCCTTCAGTTCTTCCTGGGCCGACACCTGACCGCTGCCTCTGATGGCTATAACAGCTCAACTGATTACTGTTTGCACGTTGGTCCCGGGATAAGCCGACCTTGCTGCGCTATATTAATTCACACATTCCTTCAACAGTTTGGTACACTTAAGCATTATCAGTTGACAACGAAGCAAATAAACCGATAGAGGTAAGTCTCTGCTTCAGAGTCCCACACCTTGCAGGAGAAAAAGCTGAGATTCCAGAGACTGGATCCTTCAGCAGAGATAGGCTGCCTCCTCTAAACAACTGGGCCTCGGAGTATAGCTCAGTGGTAGAGCACTTGTCTAGCATGTGCCAGATTCTGTGTTCTATCCCCATCACTTCTGAGCACCTCAAAAAACAGAGTTGCAATACATTATGAAAAGTATTTTGATGACCTTAAGCATAGCTGGAAGGTCACAGAGTACAAAAAAAGGTGGTACTTGAATTAAAGGATGACTAAAAGCAGAGGGACAGGGGAAGCTGCAGCTGATTGAAGCACCATGAGTGAGGAGGGCTGCCCTTTGATCTACCAAGGCAAATTAAAGCAGTACAGGATTGGTGAGGAGACTTGGTCTTTTATAGAAAGGAAGGTCAAAAACTATTGCTTGGGGGGGGGGAATGTAGGCAAAGTGACATGATAGACTAGAGAAAGAATTAACTACGTAGTACCCCACTGAAAATCTTTATTTCACCCAGTGGTCCTTTGTGGATTCCTCAAAACCAGCAGCCCCCTCCCATATCCAAATTAAATATACACCACCTGCATGTGTGCATTCATTGTCAATATAACCTCAGCGCACTGGCTTTGTCAGGTTTTCTCTTTGTTCTGATTTTCTTGATCTTTTAAGCAAAAAACTGTGTTTTATGAATTACTGCTTCTCAAATTTTAATGTGCACATAAATTTCCTAGCAATCTCTTTAAATGATAATTCTGATACAGGTCTGGGGTGAAAGTCATGATTTTGTTTTTGGTTTTATTGAAACATGTCTCACTATGTAATTCAGGTTGGCCTGATCTCCTGCCTCAGTCTTCCCAGATTACAGCATTCTCCCCTGCACCCAGCTGAGATTCAGGATTTTTAAATACAATCTCTGGTAGCAGATGCCACAGGTCCTCAGAATCACATTTTAGATAGCAATGGTATGTATATTTTATTGTTCCGAAAAAGGTATTTAAACCTCTTACAAAGTGGTGTGGGCCTAACTGAAGTGTATTAACATGCTGGAGGGTAAGGACTGGAAGCGGAGAGTCCTCTGATATTGTTACCTTTAAGCAAAGCAAGGAAGTAGTCTGATGAGGTGGAGAGTTGGGGATATGAGAAAAACACAGGGGCAACAGGAATGTAGATAACAGGATGAATCAGATACACAGAGGTAAATAGCAAAGTGATTTATTAAAGGGCTGTAGTGGCAAACCTGTGACATCCATGCCGCAGCAGAGTGTTTGTTATCATTTAAAGCTTTAATTTTGCCATCACTGTCCTAGGAATTCCCAATCTTTTTCCCTGAGAATCTTTGTAGTTACAACATTAATATAGGGCTTGAGGCATAGCTTAGTGATAAAGTGCTTGCCTTTACTGGTTCACAGTACCACAAAAATTTGGGAAATGTGGGAAATAGGGAGGGCAAGAAGAGGGATTATCATAATGGGGACTGAATAATGGGTGTGGAATGCCCAGATGCGTACAGTAGGGAACTAGATAATACTGGCCTAAATGAAACTCAGGGGAAAAACTCTGGGGTAGATTTGAATGGAATAAAATCCAAGAGTATGAGATGAGATTACCTGGGAAGAAGGTACAGTGGAAGAGAGACTTGAGCACATTAATATTTACTGAAGTTAAGGATTTGCTAAAATAGACCCAGAAAGAATAGTTAGAAACAGAAATAAGAGGTTTTCAAGAAGGATCCATGTGGGAGTAAAGCCTGCCTTTTATGAGTCTCTACTACAAAACAACAGTAGCAGTTACTGCTGTTACTACTATAATGAATATTGCTTGCAGCAAACTTTTTTGGAGATAATAGAGTAAGGGCCAAGGAACATGAAAATAAGTATTTGAGAGAGAAAGCCAGATTCATCATCCATGCAACGTAGATGAAGGAATAAGTTTAGCTCAGAATAACACTAAAATCCCATTAGATATAAAAGCTTAAAAAAATACATCTATACATAGCCTTGCTTCATCTCTGCTACCAGGCAAATTGTTTTGGATTCATAAACCATCAAGATAAAACAAGTAAAAAGGAACCACAAGGTAGATTTTCAGTCTGATTATCTGATTTATGCTCTTTTTCCAAAATAGGCCTCAAAGCCCAGGCCTATGTCCTCTATTGGAAGTGCTCTTAGCACACTGAGGATTTTGACACTTAATATACCTTTTTGTCTCATTCATTTCCTACAGGAGGGTGAAGGCGAAGCTATCTGCCTCTTGGCAAATAACAAATCATTAAGGGTGAATAGAAAATACGGTAGTGTTATCAGAGCCTAGGACAGGGTTCACTGGGAAGCCATATGACCAACCATACTTCTTGATAGAAGTGCTTTGCACTAGTCAGAGGACGAGAAGTTCAGAAGCGGTCTTCCTCTAGTTTGCCTCTTCCTGGGTTGACAATGCGGTTCAAAGGCCTTCCAACAGTTGGACAGAACCATGCACACCAAGTATTCTCTATTTGGCTTGAAACTATCATAGGACCTGTTTTTCCCCTACGCAAGATAATTCAAACTAAAGAGGGTCTCTTTGTGCATGAGGCTGGGAGTTAGAAGGATTTGGCCAGAATCTACACAAGCAGATTGAAACCATAGTTTCAAGTCCTGAGATTTCTTACCTTTGGTTAGGAGAAGCCACCATTGGTTGTCCAGCTCTTTTCTTCGGTCTGGTTAGCTGGGGTGATGGGATTTCCCCTTTGAGACCAGGGACTGAAGAAAGCAGACTGGCCTATAAAAGGGCAAGTCAGCACACTGTAGCCACAACAGGTTTAAAGCATCTTAAAATATCAGTAATTTTATTGGTGGAATTTTATTACATTGAGGACTCCCTGAATCAGTGGATCCAGAAAACTTGATGATAGTTTTATTCCTTAAAGGACTCTTATTCTCAGGGGGTCTGACCTGTGCCTTGGCAGGATGGTTAATGACTTGAGGGCTCACTACAGATGTACAAGGTTTTCTTCTGCCTCCACTAAAATCTCAAAATCAGTTCCGGTTTTCAAAATAGCAGGCTACTGAATCCACATCAGAACCAAACCATAGCACTGTAAACAATCTAATGGATTCTAGTACTATACCATATATGCTCATTCATAAGGAAAAAGAAGAAAATCTGTGTTAGAACTAGAAAACTCTTTTAAGTGAATCCCAGAAGGATAGAATGACTTGCCTAAAATCATACAGCTTCAAGTGGAAGAAATGAAAATAAAGTTTAGGCTTCTGACTCTTATTCTGCTATACCCATTCTGCCTCCCTCACCCCAAAAACCCCTGTATATTTTGAAAGTAATTAAGTTCTTACCTGAGCTAGGTTTTATCCAATGTTCAGGTTGGTAAAATAGCAGTAAAGTAATGCCAGGAAGAGGCAGGCAGAGGAAGAAGAGATTATAGCAGGCAAAATGGGATTGGGAGTAGGCTACCAGGATCCAAACAGAAAGAAAGGAAGGTGGTGCGCGTAAGCGGGAAGGGAGGAGGGCACCCTAAAGAACTTATTTCACTGCGTAACTCCGCTTTCTGCCTAAGTCTTCTAGGGGTTTCTCCTCCTTTTTTCCTGATCTGAGAAACAAATTTCTTGCTCTGTTATCCTCCAGGTACAGAATATAGCTTTAAGGATTCCTTCAGACAATTCAAACGTATTACAGATAGTTACGCTACAACAATACTTACCCTTTTGTCCCTCCGAGTGATTTTGCTTAATGTTATCACTCACTAGTGTATATTTCAAGGATAGTTTCATTCGCTTCACTAGTTTTAAGTGATTATTTTTGTTAAATGTAAGTGAAAATATAGACATGTAGTGATCCAAAGGGTCTTTATTCCTCCCAAGGGTCAAGGAAGCCTCTTGAAAACATTTAATGTGGTTCTTGATCACTACAAATTCAACACCAGTGATACTTCCCAAACCCATTGAAAATAGAAAATAAGAAATTAGTTTAGGGAATGTTTATGTTAACAGAGAACAAATATGTCTGATCTGGTGCTTGCTTTAGAACTTGAACAGAGAAGATTAAAAATTAAAAATTCTTGTTGGAGTGAGGGTAGAGAACTGCCACCGCTTGTATAGTTCTGTTTCTATTTATTTATTTATTATTTATTTTTGTATCCTTGTTATTATTTATTTTTGTATCCTTCTGTCAGCCTCAAATCTTTTATTTTCTTCTTTAACACTGTCTATACATAAGACCAGGAAATTCAACTATATTAAAATCCAAACAGGTTGATGACTATACTTTCAGGGGGGTAGTTTTTCCTTCTCTATTGCATCAGCTTCTTGGCATAGTCTTTGTTTAGCCAACCCATTCCAGTGTTCCTGTGGTTAGTTTGTTAAACATATTGGCTTTTCATACTTGGGACCATGGAACTAAGCCCAGAATTAGTCATATATTTATAAACATTACTAAGAAGATTCAACAATATAACAGAGAAATAGGAGTCATGCCCTTCTTATGTCCCAATTCAAAATTTAAAATGCCTTTAACTAAATACATCTTTTAGATATTAAAAAAGGAAGCACAAAAAGAACCTGAAGTTCGTAATTTTAGTGTTCTTAAATTTATCCAGTATTCACTGATTTAAATCCAAAAGGTTTTTTTTTTTTTTTCCCTCTTTCTTTTTTTTTCTCTTTTTTCCCCATTGCAGAACTTGGGATTGAACCAGGCCTTACACATACTAGGCAAGTCTTCTGTCACTAAACTATATCCCCAACCCAAAAGTCCTTATAAACAACTCATGACTCATAGGAGTGAAATCTAATGGTAGCATCTGCTACAGTCAGATAAGACAATCACCAAGGCTTAGAGTTTCCAGTGTATAAAATGAGAAGACAAGAAAGAAACGAGGAATATTAACATAGAATAAATAAAATTTTACAAAAGTACTTTTTCAAGGCAGTATAAGAATGGGCTCTAAAGTGTAAAAAAGTGTAAAATGTGAGAAGCACGTTACAAATGTGGCATTAACAATCTGAATCAGTATGATTGTGGATTGGGTAGTACCTGCATAACCACTGAAAGGATCACACCCCACTTCTAAATACTGTTCATCTTTTTATTGAATATTCTGGTAAATATTTCACATTAATACAGGCTACATTAAGTAGAGCCACTATATGACAAGAAATTTACTCAATTTTTTTCTTTTAAGTATGTAAACAATTATACATGTATTTACCACCCTAAAAGGCTGAAACATGTAATCATCTAATTCTCTTCTGCATACAAGTAGCATTCGGTATGTTTAGCCAAAAGCACTAAGTTCATCTGATCTTAAGTTGAGAAATGGCTAAACTAACCAGAGAACATAATCAGGTGGATAGGAAATCAATTTGTTCTTATACAATGGGCAATCAAATTTCCATTGCTAAAGCCTCAGAGAAAATTTCTTAATTAGGCACATTAAAAAAAAAATCCCCAGGGTTCTTCCAAGGTCATAGGTTTCTCAAACAAGGCTAAAGAGTAAAACCTTCTAACTGTTTAGTTGACATATTTGAGATGCATGTTTCCAATATGAGGTGCCCACGTGCCAGGCCAAATCTGAAAAGGGGGAGGAAAAATTGGAATTTCTAATTAGGAATCTTTAGACATTTACAAAATGAATATATAAATGCAATGGCAATTCACTGTTTTTGCCTAGGAAGAATACACATACATAAAATAAAATGTTTAGTATCATCATCTTGCTATTAATTCAGATCAAGGTAGTCAGTCATGACTTTTGGTACTACCCACAGAATTAAAAGAGTGACATGACAAGTTTGAAAAGCGAGAGAGTATTAGCCCATTTTACCTGCTGGGCATCAGTGCATTCAGTTGAATTTTGGATAACTTTTATCATAGGATTCCAACCAGGATCTGTGCCGTGAAGTCCATTAAACAGTGGGCCTGCTGGAACATCAGCAAGCTGAGGATGAGATGGTATTATGGTGCCTCCATACATGGAAATTGGCAGGCCCTTAAAGATAAGAAAAAAGGCTTAATTGTGAACTGATTATACACAAGTCAGTCCCTAATACCCACTTAGAATGCTCTAATTTCTTTTCATTCAAAGAACTCCAAGGAGCTTCTAACTACAGTATGGTACAGTATTGAGAGACCAAAAATGTTTATCTGCATCTGCAACATTTTTTAAGACACAGAAAACAAAAATAACAAAAACAAAGCCAAAATAACCAAACAAAAAAACTAAAATCCAAGATGATGCCCTCACGAATCCCATATTTGATGAAAATATATACCATCAACTTTCTCGTATTTTAGTTGTGCTAACATTAGTTTGGAAAGGATAAATCTAGCAGGGCATAGTGGGACATGTCTGGAATCCCAGTATAGTATTGGATGACTGAAACAGCAGGATCATGAGTTTGAAGCCAGGCTTGGCTTATATAGCAAGTTTGAGGCCACCGTGGGCTATGTAGCGAAACCCTATTCCCATCCCCACGCTCCACTCCCCAAAAAAGTAAAGAAAGAAAATCTATACAAATGCTTACAGCCATAATCTGGCTTTATAGGAACCAGGAAGCTGTCAGCGCAGACAAGAAGGCATTGGAGCGGTCACAGCCAGCCTTTTAGAGGGGCAGCAGTCTCCCTCAAAGATGTGGCAGCAGACTACAAAACAAAAACCTCAACAATCCCGCAGATGTTTTACTGGGATAGTAGTGACATCATTAGGATAGTTTGAGGATAAACTACTGCAGACAACATTACCCACTCAAGAAATTTGAGTAGAAGGCCCAGGGATATAGCTCAGCAGCACAGCACCTTCCTGGCAAGTGCAAGGTCATGAGTTCAATCCCCAGCACCAAAATAAATAAATTAATTGAGTAATTAAAAAAAAATTGAGACGATCTAGCAGTCATGAAAACAAAAAAGCATACACTACTTAACGTGTTACTACATTGGCTAGCAAAATGTGAAGTAAACTCACTTTAGAAAAATCCACGAAACCACTTGCAATAGGTTGGTGAAAAATGTTAGAGGGAGCTACCATTCCAGAATCATCTCTTTCCATCGGTTGATGCTGGGAGAATGTACTTGGGTCTGATAACTGCTGATGCATTGGATGATTCCCTATCACAGACTGTGACCAACCTGATAAGCCTTCTGGAAAGAAGAATTGAGAATAAGATTTGAAATTTACTTAGATAAAACAACAAAACATTACTACTTCACTTTTCTTTATATACCAAATTTTATCAAAGTAATTCCTCAAGAAACACTCATCATAGTCTCTCTCTCTCTCTCTCTCTCTCTGTCAGTCTCACTTTGTAGTTCAGGCTGGTCCTGAACTCACTATGTAGCCCAGGCTGACCTTGAACTCAAGCAATACTCCTGCCTCAGCCTCCTGAGTGCTGAGATTACAGGCGTGCGCAACCACACCTGGCTCATCACAAGCCAAAACATTCCTAGAAAATTAGATGAAATCTTCTGAATACTCCAAACACCTCATCTCTCTGAAAGAACTCAAATGATTGTCCCATTGTACACTAGAAAACTTAAAAGAGGTAAAGAAAGTACACTTGAACCTTTTATTTCAGATAAAGTCTATGATTCACTCCAACTAACATTCCAGACTCTGAGACTGAACTGAATTCCTCAAAAGTATGGCCATCCTTTTTTGACTGGATGTTTAAGCATAAGAACTAAGTTCTTTGTTCTGTTTTTAAGGAACTAAGTTTGAATGGCAAACTCTCACAACTTACTTGACATATCCCTGCAGAGAGAGGGCAAGGTAACTATACCTGACACAGCATTGACACCAAATGACCAGATTCCACTGTGTCCAACAGGAGCAACAAAACTGGTCCCCACAGGAGCTTGTGCCACAGACCCTCCTTGCCGAATCCGAGCCAGCCTCTCTGTCCCAATGGGGGGAGGTATCTTTCGATCCTGACTGGCGCTGCCTCCTTTTGGTTGGCCCAATGTTGGTGGGGCAGAAGTGGCTGAAAGAGGTGAAGATGATCCCGAAGAAACAGATGGGATAGGAGAGTCACCTGGTGGCAAAATATTTCTCTATTGTTTTATTACATATATAAAAATCTATAGGACTTTGAGAAACCTTGTTGGAAAGATCTAGTCTACAACATAGCTTGGACAATTCTTTTTTCTTTTTATAAGGTCATTCAAATAAAACTGTAAAATTTGTACAGACATTCTACACTAGTTCTGTGTAGAGTAAGTATAAGCAAATCGTCTAAAAATTTTTTTTCCATTTAAATTAAACAAGGCTTGAAAGGAAAAAGACCACATTCACTCTAATTCTAAATAATCTTCTCAAAGCATATACTTACATTTTAATTAATCAAAATGGGCAGTATTTGTATGATACTTAGCTTATTATTTAGAAAGCATGTTTATACTTGTTAGTTCTTTCCTTTTTTTACCCCTTTCTATAACCCTTTACTCATAAGGAAGAAAGGCTAAATGTTAGCAAAGCACTGTACGATTCAGTTGACAGCTTTGTTTCTTAATTGGACTCAGGTTTGGGTAGTCTTCCCTGTCAAAAAGGCCAATACTGACTCCTCATGATATTCATTAAACAAACAACAAAAACAATCAAATACCATTAATTTAAAATATTTCATTTGTTCTAACTATTGAAATGCAAGTAAAAAAAAACCCAAGGGGCAATAATACATTGAGAGATTTAAAAATAAATGAGAAATCATACCAAACAGACCATATTTATGAATCAACTTTTTTCAGATTTGAAAAACTATTTCACAATATTGCTCTTATAGGGCAGTAAAACTACTACAGGCAGTTCTTTTGTAAAACTACTTATATTACCCCTTCATGGTCCAAGCCTTAATGCAAACATTTATGGTTTGGAAGAACAGCATGACTCAAGTTTCTGTTGTACCAATGCTGGCAATTTTTGTGATGACTACAATACAAACCTTGAATACCTGCATACTATCTATTTTACTAAAATTACAACATAGTATTTGCTGAAACAAATGGGTTAACAACATATTCAATAGTACTTTTTGGAAGAATTTCTCTAAGATTCCTACATGAGTTTGAAGTGCTTGTCCAAGGGTGGGGAGAAAAATGTTGTCTGTTGAAACTAGGGGTCCCAACAGGTGCTGGCCCTTGCAGGAAAACTCTTGTTCCTGGTATGCCAGAAAAACTTGACAGAGGAGCAGAAGAGGAAGATGGGGAGCTGCCTGATGGGTCAATGGATGGTAACCCTGAAATAAAACAGATTCAAGACATCCAATTAGCTAAAACTTTAAAATAAAAAGTCCAAGCATATAGCTTATTTTTGTAGATCACAGCAAAAACACCATTTATGTGATACCATATGGCCAAATCCAGTATCTTCTTAAAATCAGAAGAGTATCACCTCCCAGCCATAAATAGAAGAAAGTGGGACCAATGTTTCAGAACTGAAGTCAGAGCCAGGCATAGTGGTACATGTCTGTAATCCCAACATTTGGGTCACTGTAAACTTGAGGCCAGCCTGGGCTACATATTGAGTTCATGGCCAGCTTGAACTACCCAGTGAGACCCTGTCTCAAAAAGCAAACAAAACAAAACAAAACAAAAACAACTGAAGTCACTGAGGTCATGTTTTCAATAAATCTCAAAGCTTTTAACTGAAGTAGACATGAATGAGAGCATATTGTGATAAGTGGTAGTCATTAAAGATGTGTATTCTGCCTTGTGAAAAATTCTCAAAGTATACAGTTTATCTACATAATCATATTATTTCCTATAGAAGTTGAGTTAATAAAAATCTACCTTTGTTTCCTTCCTCACAAAAAGGGAAAGCATATCATTAACTTACAGAAAAGGTAAATTTTATCCTGATAAAACCCAATAATTTCAAACCTTATCAAAATTCATGAGAGCTGGGCATGGTGGCACACACCTATAATCTCAGCACTCAGGAGGCTGGGACAGGAGGAGCACGGTAAGTTCAAGACCAGCCGAGGTACATAGTGAGTTCAAGACCAGCCTGAACTGTATAGTGAGACTCTGTTTCAAAAGCCTGACAAAACACCCCCAAATAAGAACTTTGCAATCCTTCAAAATCCATTGCTTTCTCTAGAGAATGTATTGAGGAAAGGGGATTAAGGTCTGGAAAACAATTCTAAATGCCCATTTCAGGGAAAAGTAGTTATTAACAACATTGTCCAAACTTCTCTCAAGTGGGCCTTGTTGTTGAAAAACTTGATTCCTCTATCATTTAACAATAACTTAAAAAACACAACCTTGAGCCAGGTGTGGTGGTACATTCCTGTAATTTCAGCACTTAGGAGGCTGAGGCAGGAAGACTACTTGGAGTTCCAAGTCTACCCTGGGCTACCCTGTGATACCCCATAGCAACCAACCAACCAGCCAATCAATCAACAGCTTTGTGATATAATACACATAATCATAAATTTACCCATTCAAAGTATAAAATTCAATTGATTTGAGTACCTTATTTCACAGTTTTGTATAATTATCACCACAGTCAATTTTAGGACATTTCTGCTTCCCCTAAAACAAATTCCATACCCACAGCCTATCATTCACTGACGTCTCACACTCCCATATTCCCACTTATAAGCAACCTCGAATCTGCTTTCTACATCTGTAGATTTGCTTATTCAGCACATATAGAAATGGAGAATACAATGCTTGATCTTTTGTGACTAGCTTCTCTTACTAAAATGTTTTCAAAGTTCTTCCACAGTGTATCATAAATCAGTACTTCAATTATTTTAATTGCTAAATTAAGAAAATGTTCTGCCTATAATCCTGGAATTCTGGGATATGGAGGCTGGTAGACTGCAAGTTTAGGCTAAGTCTGGGCAAGTTAGCAAGACCTTGTCACAATATAAAAATGTTAAAACAAGACACAAAAACAGAAAAAGGTGTATCATTTGATTTTATGATACTGGAGACAGAACCCAGGAACACTGTACCACTAAGCTCTTTTTATTTTTTATTTTGGGAAGGAGTCCAGGCTGGCCTCGAACCTGCAACCCCTCTTCACTCAGTAGGCAGAATTAGCATGCACCACCATGCCTAGTGAGATATATTTTATCAGTTGATTGACATTGGGTTTCTGCTTCTTGGCTGTTACAAATAATGCTGCTATAAATATTTGTATCCCACTTTTGTTTTTTAAATCTTACCTGTTTGTTTGTTTTGTGTTTTTTGAAATGGTCACTATGTATTTCAGGCTGGCCTGAACTCACTGTGTAGCTTAGGCTGGTCTCTAACTCTCAGAAATCATTGCCTCAGTTCCTCCAGCATATATCATTGTTTTGAGATGTAGTCACTCTGTTGCCAGACTGCTCTGAAACTCATGTCAAATGATCTTGCCTTAGCCTCCCTAGCAGCTGAGACTATATGTGCATGCCACTGCATCCAAATTGTGTGCTAGTTTGGTATAGGCATACTAGGTAAAAATACCTGAATGTTTAATTTTTTAAAAATTACAGTAAAAAACAAAGAAAAAGGGAGAGGGGCTGGGGATTTAGCTCAGCAGCATAAGCACCTGTCTTGCAAGCGTGTGGTCGTGAGTTTGATCCCTGGTACTGATAAAAACAAAAACAAAAACAAAAAAACAGAAAATTACAGTAAAAAAGACATTACCATTAATCTCCCTCAGTATACTCCCCTTGCTTCAAAACACTTTATCCCACCATTCCTGCTTCTTTCTGAAAGCAGTTCTAGAAGTCTTGTTTCATAAATATCTTTAGTTGTGCTGTGTGGCTGCTTCAATGTGCTGTACTGATTCAAAATTTTTTTCTTCATTTTTTTTTTTTTCCTTTTTTCCGGTACACTTAGGAATGGAGTTCTTGGGCCATGTTTCATTGTGATCCAGTAATTCTACTCTTGCTATTTAACTTTTGAGGAACTGTGAAACTCTTTTTCCAAAGTGGCTACCCCATTTTACATTTCTGCCAGCAGCCATGATTTTAATTTCTCCACATCCATCCCCATCTTAAGTATTATTAAAACATCTTACCTGAAAAATAAGAGAGTAAACTATATCCATGAAAGAGATCATATACAAAAGACACCATATAAGTAGTTAAGATATGAGGGAGGACAAGCTTACTAATCCTGGGCCCCACAAGGGATAGCAAAGATGGACTTTGCACTTGCCAGGCAGGTCCTATGCCACCAGCCTACTAATTTCTTTAAGGTAAGGCAATAATAGGTACACAATAAATGCTTTACTATAATAGATAAGGTTAGGCCATGAGAGCTCCAAACTGAGCCACAGTAAAATAACTTACCAACTGGACTAGTAGAAACTCGCTGGGAAGGTGATCTGAAGCCAGGTGCCTTGGAGCTGTCAGGGTGCACATTTTCCAAGTGTCCAAGTACAGAGTTACCCAGAAACGCTGACTGAACCGTGAAAGAGGCATCTGCAGCAACTCTTGAGGACAGTGGACCATCTCCCCAGCCTTGGTTAGCTGGCACTTGACTGCTATCAAAAAGGCTACTGAAGTGATTGAAAAGTGTGGCAGGGCCAAATGTAGGTTGTAAAGATTTATTTGCTGGGTTTATGTGCATCTGAGAACCATTCATAATGTTCATGGCTGAAGAAAGCTGTACTGCAGCTGGTGGACCTTGAGGTGTTGTCAGAGGAACTGGATTTGTAACAAAAATAGACTGGGGATCCTGGTGGATAGCTGCATTTGGTACCACTGAGTAAAAAGAACCTCTGGCCTGCATTCGATGAGAAACTCGAGGTGCTGGAACAGCTAATTGAGGTAAATTACTGGTGTCCTGATTATCAGCAGTGACAAATCTGGGTGAGGCCAAAGTCAATGGAACAGGTTCTGAGTTAGAGGCAAAAGGCATTGACATAGGACTTAGATCAGATACACTGGATGGCTGTGCCTCCTCCTGTGTGTTACTGGAAGGAGGAGTGGAACTACTGGTTGGGTGAGTTTCTGCAGCTCCCGGAGTATTGCTGGCAGAGCTACTGCAACCATTAGCAGTTGGAGATGGGGTACATAGGTTTGGTATCGGTTGGTCCTGTGTGGGTACTTTCTCTTTGGGAGGTGGCATGGCAGAGAAAGACTCCATCTTTTGTGAAGAAAGCTGTGCTTGAGGAGTAGTTACGGGCAGAAATGTGGTGGGAACTTGCCCACTAGTGATAGGTGCAGAAGAGACGGAAGGCAGGGGACTACAAGTGCTTGTCACAGAAGAAATCACTGATGCTGGAGGACTCGTCTTAGGCACACAAGCAAACAACTGCTTTCTGACTGATGAAGGAGTCCGGGTATTAGTTACACACAGTTGCTGACTGGCAGCAACTACTGAAGAGACAGTGATAGGACAACTGGCAGTAGCTAATCCAGGAGATTCTGAGGATAAGACAGTCCCATTCTGGTTAGGTAGACGGGTTGTATTATTATGCTTTGGAGAGCTATTTGTATTGCCAGGATTGACAGGTCTCACTGGAAATGGTCCCCAAGTGTTAGGAGAAGGTGAGAAGGTTCCTCCAAACTGGGCCATAGGTAAGCGAGGATGCCGAATCTGTTGCATAGTTTGAGCGGCCAGCAGGGCAAAATGAGGGTGGGGATAAGCTAAGGGAAGTGAAACGGGGAAAGAAGAACGTACATTTGTTGGCACGTTCTTGTTAAGTTTATTAGCAGGCTGGAACGTAGATAATGTTGTGGCCTGTGAAGTGACGAGAGTTGGAGCACCCAAGGGAAATGCATTTTTGCTGGAAGCTGCTGTGGTACCTACTCCAGGTGAGAAGTTTGCATGAATGGGTTTGGTGCTGGCAGGTGTTCTGATGTGATTTTTGGGAATCAAGTCTTCTAGTTCCTTAGCAGGATCTTGAATAAGTGCATTGATAAGTTGAACTGCATATCTTGTTGATTCTGTACCACCCCTGGGGGGAAGAAAAGATTAAAACGTAAATAGATAATCTTACCCACCCAATAAAATTCTTAATTATGCTAAACCTAACAAAAATACATTTGCGATAAATTTCCAACTCAAAGCTAGTAATGTTTTTCACAGTTACCTTATTGTGATCATTCTCTCGCCATTTTTATCCTTTTGTTTATCCACATCAATATGGGCACCAGTAACATCTTGTATTGCAGTGATGTTGCATCCTCCTCTTCCCATTATTCTGGATACCACTGAGGCTGGAACAGACAATTTCTTTGACCTATAAAATGAGGACTACATATGAGCTTATGAACTAAAAAAACCTTTTTTTTAATATAGGAGATGGAATCCTGGATGTTGGCACTGAGCTACATCCTCATTCCTTTTTATTTTTTCATTTTGAGACAAACTCTCACTAAGTTGCTCAATTAGCCATCTTGGGCACAAATCCTCCTGCCTTGGCTTCTCCACATTGTAGGGATCACAGATGTGTGCCACCAGACCAACCTTGAAATCAAGTATCTCTGAATAACAAATGTCTTCATTGAAAAGGATGTCTCAACAAGTATGTAGACGGGTAGATGGGTTGTATTATTATGCTTTGGAGAGCTATTTGTATTGCCAGGATTGACAGGTCTCACTGGAAATGGTCCCCAAGTGTTAGGAGAAGGTGAGAAGGTTCCTCCAAACTGGGCCATTTATAGAATACTATACTGGGACATTTATAAAATACTATTTCTCAAATTTTAAAGAGGAAAGTTTTAAAATGTTTTGCTTTAGAAATTGGTCTCTCACACTGAATTTAATTTAAGTAAGCTGAAAATTACATCATTATTTATTTTTTGGTTCCAGGGGATTGATCTCATGACCTTGCGCTTGCCAGGCAGGCCCTTATGCTGCTGAGCTAAATCCACAGCCTACCTCATCATTTGTAACAATATTGTATTAAACTCTTCCTAATCTAAGCATATAACTCTCCATTTGATCAACATAGAAAAGTTCACTGGTTATCCAAGAGTTAACACTTGCTATGTCACATAAAATGCAGAAATTTATATATAGTTTCTAATTTTACTTTAGCATATTCTAGATTAGTATCTAGAACTGTAGTTTACAATAATGAAAGATTTAAATTACTTGGAAACCATCTTGCAAGAGAGGGGAACCTTTGTATTTTATTAGAGTTAAAAGGCAGGACTCCATCTACTTGCCTTCGTACAACTTCTTTCCACCCTTCTTCTCTTTTTTGACCCCTTTTAGGACTAGTGAGATTAAGCTTTATGTTTGGGGAGCTTAATGGCAGTGACACTGACTTGTAGCTTGTTGACAAAGCATTGGGATTCACTTCACCATCAAGTCTGAAAAGAGAAAAATAGTAAGTCTAACAAAAGAAATTTTATGATAGACAAAATTATGATAAAATATTTGAACTAAAATTGGCACATTTCAAATAAGGAAGAAAACTAGAAATACAGCAGAGAGTTCATCATCTACTTTAGTATTAAAACAGATTCAAAAGCCAAAAATTAGATGGTAATAAAAATTACAAGTAAATAAAATTAAGGCATGATAATATTTTTAACATTAGACTACAATCTTACTATACTCTCTAATACTCTTACTTCTTAAGTACCACATGCTGAAGATGCCAACTTCACTTTTGTATTTCAAAGACAAGCTACCATGATAGACTTAAATTCTTTTTACTTGTTTGTTTTTATGAGACAGGTTTTTGCTATGTAGTTCAGGCTGGCCTTGAACTCACTGTGTAGTCCAGGATGCTTGTGAACTCATGGTGACCCACCTGCCTCATACTCCTGAGTGCTGGGATTACAGGTAGGCACCACCATGCCCAGCTCTCAGGGTGGGGAGTTTTGTACTTCAAATTTGTGTGCCAGGAATGAAAATGGAAAGTGAACATTGAGATAACACATCAGAAAAATTTACCGTGTTTGAGTTTTGGGAGTGGTTGCAATTGTCTTTTCTTCTTGGGAATTGAGGAGCTGTGAGGGGTACCTCCTATCACCAGTAGAATTCACATCCATAGTAAAATTTAATTCTTGGCTTTTACCACCACTACTGCTCTCACTGTTGCAGTCTGTGCTGTCCAAATTATCTGAATCACTATTCCCACCTGCACCACCACCTCTAGGTTCTCCATTTATTTTATTTTTATCTGCTTTTTGCTGTGCTAAAGATATATGTTCTGGCAAAATTAAATGTGCTGTAGGAGGGGTTTCTTTTGTTTTATTCTTCTTATTTTTCCGATTGGTGCTGGGTGTTGTCACCACATTGGCCCTTTTTTTCCCAAATACATTTGTGAATGTTGCAGATGTTGCAGAGATTCCAATTGTGGTGGTGGTAGTTGCACTAGGAGGTTCTATGGGAACTTCTTGCTCCACTAGAATTATAAAAACAGATAAAAGGCACATTCAGAGCCACAGATCTTAAAACAAATTGTCATAAAATATAATAATTTATAGTAATTCAATCCTTTAGGTCAGTTTCCCTTTACCAGTGTTCACTAATAAGTAATGTTGGCTATTACTAGAACTAATATATGATATAACCTAGTATCTAAGTTGGTATACAATTTATTCACCATTAATACTGATAAACTCTGAAATGTTAATCTGATGAATTAGGCAAAAACCATAATTTAGTCTGAATTTAGGAAATTTTTCAAATAGCATTTCAGAACTAGAATTCAAGTAAAGCAGCATTATTTGCTTACTATAAGCACTAGCAGATGGCACCATAAACAACTCTTGAGAGTAATGAACCCTGTCTCTCCTAACATATATACCCTCTGTAGTTTAAACCTGAACCTGAGTTATGAGTTTATTGAGGAACTGTATCTTTTTCTACTTTCTAAGCAGAGGAGTTAAAGGTAGAGAAGAACCAGAAGAAAGGCTGGTAAATCCCTATATTGTTTTTTGTTTTGTTTTGTTTTTTCTTTCTCTGAGACAGGGTCATGTTGTATAGTCCAGGCTGGCTTTGAACTCAATGTGGAGCTCTGACTGGTCTTGAAGTCAAGCAATCTTCCTGCCTCAGCCACCCAAGTGCTGGGATTACAGGCATGTGCCACCAAACCCAACCCTTATATTATATTGCTTTTAATATATATATTATGTTTCAGAAGGTAACTTAAATTATAATTGAATTACTTCAAATTATATGCTTGCCTTCTCACCTCTGTTTATATGTATCAACTTATAAAACATTTGAATTTACTATAAAAGTCAGTTATCAATTTTAGACTAAAATAATTCTTAACGAGTTAACTAGTGCAAAAAACACTCATACTGAGGCTAAAACAGGAAAACATAACTAATTCAGATGAGTTATTCTCACCATCTTCATCATTCTCTTCTTCATCTTCATCCTCTGGTAGTTCTGAATTCTCCTTGGGTTTGTTTTCCTCATCTTCTTCCTGTTTCCTTTTTTGTTCCTCTTTTTTCTTTTTTCTCTTTTCTTTTCTTTTCTCTCTTTTAGCTGCGAGAGCCTGCTTTCTGCTCTCTTCTCTTGACTGCAGATGAAATAATGTATGTCATGTTACTAATAATGCAGTTATCTACAATAACAAATGAAATGACACTTTTGTTCATGATACCCAGGGCTTCCTACAGATGTCATTTTCAAAACACATTTATAAAAATAACAAAACCCAACTTAACCATACGTCAACAAAAATAAAAACTGCTGGACTTCAAAAGAACCATCAAGAAAGCAAAACACATAAAATGGGGGAAAAAGTTTATGAATCATACATCTGATAAGATACATGTATCTAGACTCTTCATCTCAATAATGAAAAGACTATTAACTAAAAATTAGACAGTTAGAAAAAGAACCCAACAGAAGTGAGGCAGAGAAGGTTGGATGGTAGGAACAGCTATTTTGGAGAAAACAAGACATCATAATAGCTAGTGCTGATTTAGTATCATCTTGTTTTGAAGTCCCATCAAGCTTTTGTTCTTCTGTCTCCATCAGTCTTAACAGGTTGTATCTTATTGGATTTTATTATAAGTGATAACATTAACAAAAACTTTTATAGACAAGGAGATTATACAGAAATCATTGTTCATTTTCTGTTTGTTGATTCTAAATACCCTGTAATACTGTCATTCTCTTGAACCGTTTTACATTGTCTTGATATGTTTAATGTCACAGTATATGAAGTTATACACAAATATTTCAAGAAAAGAGACACTATGGTATGTTGGGATTATCTTGTGGTGAAACACTATTTTGCTTAAATGGTTATTTTTGTTTTTTTCATTTTTATCGATACCGAGGATCAAACTCACGACTGCCTGCTTGCAAGGCAGGCGCTTATGCAGCTGAGCTAAATCCCCAGCCCCTAATGGTTATGTTTTGACCTGCGCTTGTTGTTATGCCCTCTTTTAGCTCAACCTCCTTTTTTTATTATTTACTTTTTCATTTTTATCCTTTTAATTAAGAGAAAAATAAATTAAAAATAGCAGGATATATTACAGTAACCCACTTTGATTTCCTATTAACTTGATTTGAAACCCTGTATTGCTCTCACCATCTTGTTTTAACTGATTTTACTCTATTCTGTTTTGCTTGATAGTACCAAGTTCGAGAGTATAGGCAACAACTGTGAAGACAATAAAATTCATTATGACGCCCATTCTGGTTAACTATTATCTTCTTTTGAAGTCCTGTAATGTCTCCAATGTTTTGGTTTTATTGGTTTTGTTCTTTACTGTTTGTTCAATTTTATTATAACTGATGATACAGGCAATTCTTTTTAAGATAGCAAGAGGCATTATGGTAACCATTGTTGATTACATTGTATTTTGTTTTTACATTATGTATTATGTCCATCCTTTTGATTTGACTGACTCTGTTCTGTTATGTCACATTTGGTTTTACTCTCTTCAAAAAAAAAAGTAATAAGAACTGTGGGAGTAATAAAACCCAAAATGTGTAATTGTCATTGTACAAAAGAGAGGAAAAGAAAGTGCTCTAAAGGACATAACTGCATGTATATTTAAGTGTATAAGATAAATAACCATATCACTGAGTTTTGTTAGATCATTGAACAGAACTGTTTGCAGTCTCACTGTTTGAATGTCCACTTTATATGCTTTAATTTTGTAACTTGAACAACTATTTCCAAGATGACAATATGTAATCTATCAACTAGTGATTTCCTACTGTATTTTTTCTGAAATTCTGTATAACTTGTACCCTTTTTCTGTTTTTTTTCCTCCTTAAATAAAATTAAAAAATTAGACTGTTAAAGCACCGAGTCCTAAATAGATAATGTTTATTTCTCAATTATTCTTTAATAAAGATTTTTTTTTTGTCTTTTTCTTTTTTATCGGTACCAGGGATCGAACTCGGATGACCACACACTTGCAAGGCAGGCGCTTATGCCGCTGAGCTAAATCCCCAGCCCCTTTAATAAAGATTTTAAAGAAAAGCACTTAATAGATGTTTCTCCAAAGAAAATACACAAATGTAAATAAAATATAGAAAATAAGGAAAATAAGGAAAGTAAAATAAAATATAGAAAATAAGGAATAGGGAAATAGATTTTTCTCAAATGGGAAGAGAGTCAAGAAATGAAAGGAGGAAAGAGAAACAGAATAAACAAATTAAGATATGTTATGTACATGTACCAATTCCATACATTAAATAAGTGTAAACATTATGTAGTGTTAGCATGAACTAATAAAAATGTAATAACAGAGCTGCATGTGATGGTATAAGCCTATAACCTTAGCATTCAGGAGGATGACAAGAGGATTGCTGAGCGTTCAAGGCCAGCCTGAACTACATAGTCAGACTTTGTCTTCAAAAAAAAAAAAAAAGGTAGTAACAAGTTTGGTATAGTGGTGCATACCTGAAATCCTGGTACTTGAGAGGCTAAAATAGGAGGATTGCAAGTTTAAGTTCCATTTGGGCAAGTCAGCAATGGTAACCATTGTTGACTCAATTTAAAAAAGGACTGGGGATATAGGTAATTCCCAGACTCCTCAATCCCAAAGTGTAGTGAAGCTGTGGATAAACTGAAAACTTTATATTCTATGTGCAGGACTATAAAATGCTGCACAGTCACTTTGGAAAACAATCTGGCTGTCCCTCAAATGATTAGTCACATAATTACCATATGACACAGCAGTTCCTTCTCAAGTGTATACACAAGAGAAATGAAAACCTAAGCCGTTGTTTTGTTGTACAGTTTTTATTAATGAAGTTGAGCATTCTCTGCTTATTGGACATTTTCGTTTTCTGAGAAATTGTCCATTCATACATTAATATTTTTCATTCTTTACTTTTGTTTGCTTTTTTTGTGATGGGGGTCTTGCTATGTTGCCCAGACTTCAACTCTTGGGCTCAAGTAATCCTTTCACTCTTTCAATGTGCTCAGATAATGTAACCATTTCTTATTCTGGGTTCTATTTTTCTTTAAAAATCTCATTGATTTAGAATCAAATTTCGTCTGTCTTTATTTTACTGTTTTTTAAAAACTAGTAACAAAATTTTAGTCCATTTCAAAATGACCAATTTTTAAAATCATTAAAACCACTCCATGTTAAGCTATTCCTTGCAGTCTTAGCATAACTCTACATAAATACAATCGTGGTATTTTCTTCATTTAGTATAATTTCTACATTCCATATCACCACTGTCACTTTCAAGGTCAACAGAGAAAGCCTCAGAAAGTCAATCCTTTTAGAACTTTTTCCATTTGCCATAAATCCTAAGATATGTGTCATTTAGTTTGTAATAGGGAGTCTAATAAACAGCTTACATCTTAGATCAGTGGTGGTGAACCTATTGCATGTATGTCACAGAATATTTGTTATTGAAGGCTCTAAAAGGTTTGCCATTATTGGTCCAGATTTTACACTTTAAAAAAATAAATAAAATAAAATTTCTAATACTTTACTAATTTTTTTTCAGATTTATAATAAAATCACCTAGGCAGTAATGTCATTTGGTAAATCTTGCTCAAAATCTAGTCCCTCATTTTATTTTATTGTGCGTCTTTTTGAGACAGGGTTTCGCTATGCAGTTCAGGCTGGCCTTGAGCAAACTTTGTAGCCCAGGCTGGTCTTGAACTCGCAACAATCCTCCTGTCTCAGCCTCCAGGGTGCTGGGATTACAGGCGTAAGCCACCATACCCATCTTTAGTCCCTGATTTATATAATGTCAAAATATCTTTTATGCATGATAGCTCAGGCAACCATTTCCTCTGCACCATATTTTAAGATTATTTGTCACACTGGTGAAATTTTATTTTAGCTGATCTTCAACAATTTTTAGAAAATTATTTTTCTCACTTACCTTTTCCAAGTCAAGTTCCTTTAAAAGAATACTTGCATTCTTATTTGCTTCTGCAGCCTGTTGGTCTTTAGCCTTTACAATTGTCTCAACACATTGGTGACATTTTTTCAATAACTCCTACAGTGGGAAATGGAATTACATAAACATAATAATATGTAACACATAAGGTCAAATAAAAGTGGAGCTAATAAGAAACCACAAGTCCAAGGGTTATAGCACCCGTAACTGAAAATTCACTCAGCCAAGATAATCTGTCCTGGGTCTAGTCCTGTATCATTCTTTTATCAAAATACATATTTTTCCCAAGAAATTTGTGTTTTTAGAAGACCTAATCAGGTTGGTGGTTTAGTAATCAAGTCAGCCCAATAGCATGTGGTCCATAAAAGTAATGTTAACATACACTATCAAAAATTTTTTTACCGATCTACTTTGCAAATGGAGAAAGTAAGGCATAGGTATACGCTTTTGCCTTCTTCAAGAACAAAAAGAGTAAGTTTTTAATTGAACATCTTGGCCTATGAGATATGATTGAAAAATACAGTGAATGTTGAAATTGTAAAAATTTATTACAGTAAAAGATACATTGACATTGATCTCTGTCAATATTCTCCCTCACATTCATCATTCACATTGATCACTCTTGCTCCTTTCTGAAGCAGTTTGGGAAGTCCTCTTTCTTGAATGTTGTGCTGTCATGGTTGCTTCAAACCCCTGAATTGATTTAAATCATTTACCTTCCAGGGTCCTTTTGGGGAAGAGCCAGAAGTCACACAGTGTCAGCTCCAGTGAATAAAGTGGAAGAACACACACTGTAATGTTTTTATGAGTCTACCTTTTCGTTGGATAGCACCTGGCAGAAGCATTCATCTTATTTTTGATCAAACCTTATAAAGATACTCAAGAAGCACTTCCGGAAATATTTTCAATAAGTGGCAAGAAGGATCGGACAAGTTTGTTTGCTCTTTTAGTGTAATAAATTGTAAAAATTTGAATATTCACTATATTCAAGATATAATCACCCCGTCATTCCACAAATAACAAAAATGTGACTTAACAGCATAAGAAACTTACCTTATCTGTAATTGTTGCAATGTATCTCATACATTCTATATCAGAAGGGAACTGATTGACTTCCTTCACCAAATACTGAACAACTTTTACATGACCCTGTGAGAAGCACAACAAAAAACACAAAATCCTTGAAATTTTGCCTATATTCTTAATGACTTTTGACAAAAAACCTCTTAAGATAAGCACTAGATTTAATATTTAAATTAAAGTAAGTATTCAGTTTATAAGCAAAGATAAATACAGCATGCGCAGGAATATATAGTAGACCAAAAAATATTTGTTTTGAATTTAATATAACCACTATAGAAAGTAGGAAAACAAAGCCAGGTATGGTAGCACACATTTGCATTCCAGCACTCGGGAGGCCGAGGTAGGGAGATCACCAGGAGTTCAAGGCCAGCCTGAGTTTGAGGCTACATAGTGAATTTAAAGTCAACCAAAACTATATAGTGAGATCCTGTCTCAAAAATAATAAAAAGAGGAAGTGGAGAAACTTTCACTGAAAACAGTATCTCCTAGAATAAACCTGTCAATAAAAAAACTAGAGCAACTTAGCAAGACCCTGTTTCAAAATTAAAAACAATAATAATAAAAAAAAAACTGGGGGTGTCATTCAGTTCAAGAGTCTTGGATTTGATCCCCTTTACTTGTCTCAATAAGTAAAGTATAACCCAGCAACAAGAAAGAAGCTTCAGTATAACAAAAAGTATTTTCTAGATTTCAAAGCATTATTTTAATTCTGCCTTACTAAATAAATAAGATGGATCATCATATTTTTCTGAGACCTACGACTTCCAGGATCACACTGTCCAAATGCCATGATCAGGAACTGAATGATTGTATTAAATTCTACGCATAGCTATTTTAATATAGCCAAGCCTGCATAGTATCCTCTCCTATTATAAGGTTCTAAAACATCCTCAAGAATTACTCTGATATTTGAAGATTCAGATATATGGTGTATAAACTATTGTTAGTCTCTTACTGTTATAAAATTTTGTTTTATTCTTTCATAAAATAACGAAAGACAAAAAAAAGCAACAAAAAACATGAAAAAAGTGGCTGCAAACCTTCTGTTGTTATGGAGGTACTGCATACCTTTATTGGGTGTGGTTCACATGGGTGTATGTATTTATGAAAATTCACTAAAGTATGTACCTTCAGATTTATACATTTCACTACATGTAAATTATACTTCAATTAAAAATTTTTTTATAAAGAACTGTCTATTTAATTCTATTAAATTTCGTCTGTTTTCAGAGACATAGTCTCACTATGTAGTTCAGGCTGGCCTTGAACTCACGACGATACTCCTGTCTCAGCCTCCTGGATGCTGGGGTTACAGATAGGTACCACTATACCTGGTTAGAAAATATTTTATGATTTTTTTTTGTAAACATATAATCTGAAGTGATGTGGAGCCCTGAATTCAATCCCCAGTGATGCAAACAAAAACCAAACCAAACCAAACCAAACGCAACATATTAGAGGATGAGGTATAGCTCAGTGATAAACTGCTTATCTAGCATATGTAAGGCCCTGGGGAAAACGTTAGCACTGAAAAAAATAATTCCTGTCTTTGTGTCTATCTTATGTATCTATCTATCTACCTATCCATCCATCTATCACTGCTGTGCTATCCTTAAATAGCTATTTAGTGAGTACCTAGTTTGTGTCAGGCATTGTGCCAAACAACTCAGTAGAAACAATGGTGAAAGAGACAGTCCCCTATTGGATTTCCTATTCGGAAAATAGGAGTAAATAAATGTTTGAATAGTAATTACACCTGGGCCAGAAAAAATAAAAATTCAACTACAAAAGAGAACCTTTTTTGAGTATTGGGAAAGAATCTGAAAAGTTATATTTAAAATGGGATCTAAAGATAAGTAGAGAGGTAAACCAGATAAACAACAAGGGAAGACATCTTAGGGAAAGAAAACCTGTGTGTAAAGGCAGGTAAACATTTAGTGCATTCCAGGCCAGTGACTATTCAATGTAGCAAGCAACAAGGAAGATAAAGTGAATAATTAGTTAACATGAATCAAATTATGGAGGGCTCTGTAGGCCATGTTAAATAGTTTACAGCTCATCATTAATTGCTATGGGAAGGCATTAAATTTTTAAAAATCTTTTATTAGTACATGTTTGCTGTACGTAATGATTACATTGTTGTAGGGAATTGCTACAAGTATACAACACATCTAAATTCTTCTCATTTTCCCCTTCCCTCTTGCTCCCTTTTTGCCAGCATTGGATTCATTTGTTTGTCTTAAAGTCCTCATAAAGTTAATTATCATAAAGGCTTTTTAAAGTATAGCAGCCAACTGAGTATTTTTAATAGGAAGTATAAGTTTTTATGAAAGTTTACTCCTTTTTTTCCATCCTCAGTAGAGAAAATATCCATCTGCATATAGTAAATTTTATTAAATGCATGTTTTATGTACAAAAATATAAAAATCATCATGGATTCAACAATAAAGTTGTGTACAGTAAACTATCACATAGCTTTCATGTTTAGCCACAAAAAATGGAAAGACAGCAGTGGCTATTGTACAGAAATATATTCAATGTTCCTTCTCACATGGTTTCAACTTAGAATAGTTTTAAAATTACTAAATGTTATTCTCCCCTCCCATATCAAATTACCTTGCGAAATGCTGACATAAGGGGTGTGATCTTCCGGTTATCTGCTGCATCCACATCAGCACCTGCTTGCACAAGTAACTGGACTACATCAAAATGACCGCCATTGGAGGCCAACCAAAGTGGTGTATTTCCCTTCTTGTTACGAACATCAATGTGGGCTCCCCTATAAACAAAGAATGTAAATAGTTTATTTGCTGTAAGAAAAGGCCAACATTTTGTTTCCTTTGTCATCTTATCTTGTTAAAAAAAAATGCAAACAAAAATGCAAATAATCTATACTTTACAATATCAATAAAACAGAACAACTTTATTTACTATGAAGACTGAAACATGAAGGGGACCACGAGAAATTCTCTCTGTGTATATGTATATGTATATATGTATATGTATAGAATATTGCTTACCTGTTAATCAGCAACTCACAAAATTTATAGTGACCTTTGTCTGCCGCTATCGTTAAAGCAGTATCTCTTGAGGAAGGCACAGGAGGGGCATTGACATCTGCTCCTTTATCAAGGAGAACTCTTCCAACCTCTGCATATCCTCCAGAAGCAGCTTCCATCAAGGGGGTAAGACCAGTCTGTTTAATCCAATAAATTATAAATTATACAATTATATGATACAATTTCTTGAGGAGATTAAAGCTACTGAGGATTCTACTTCTCTTATAAGAAGGAAACAAGCCAGGCATGGTGGTGCACCCCTGTAATCTCAGGACTCTTGAAGGCTGAGGCAGGAAGATGACAAGTTTGAGCTCAGCCCGGGCAACTTAGCAACTTAGTAAGATCCAATCTCAGAATAAAAATTAAAAGAACATGTGGGAAGTAGCTCAGTGTAAAAGCCCTGAGTTCAATCCCTACTCAGAAACAATAGCTAAGCAATATTCTACTTTAAATTTTACCAAGTATCAAGTGAATTCAGTTACACATGCCAGAGTGAATTCATTTACAATCTATCACCTTCTGCAAAAACAAAAAGAAACTATTTTCTAACTTCTATACAGTTAAAAATTTAGTATAGTAATTTCATTGCAAAATGGAAACTTTAAAAATAAACTATCACTTCTAAGTTTTTTTGCATATGTACCTTCTGTACATTAATCTCAAACTTTTTTGTTAAAAGATATTTTCTGATAACATTCCCAAAGCAATATGGATTTCTCTAGGACTTTTAATAGGTAAGTAGGCCACAATTAATAGTTATAATAGAAAAAAAACAAACTAGGTAACAGGAAAGGCTCTTTTCTCTTTGTGTGATAAAAAAAAATCTGAGAGAAAACACCTGATTTTTTAGATTAAAAGGATGTAAATTTTAAGAAATATAATTAATGGAATTCAGGGAGAAAATATCAAATTTCCTTCAAACCTTTACAATTTGAAATGATTGCTAAAGAATACCACACAAGCTACGTTTTTCTATGGTTCTCAGAGCCTGATAGTTTGAAGAAAGGGATTCAAATCATAAGTATACTGGCTCATATTTTCTAAACAACAAACAATCAAGAAGTTGTCAGAATCTTTTATTGGTCAAACTAGATTTTAAACTAGGCATGATGGTGCGTGCCTATAATCCCAACACTTCGGAGGCTTCGGCAAGAGGATCACTGTGAGTTCAAGGCCAGTCTGCAGTACATAGTCAGTTCAAGACCAGCCTGAACTACACAATGAGACTTGGTCTCAGACAAACAAAAAGACAAATGAATACTCAATACTAGATTTTAGCTCTTAAGTTTATAATCCATGAACTAATTTTTTTGCTTGGAATTTTTACACTAATGACAACATGCACTTGCCTCCTTAAAAGAAGTAAGTTGTTTTAAAATCTGTATTAAGGGCTGAAGATTTAGCTCAGTGGCATAAATGCATGCCTGGCAAGCACAAGGTCATGAGTTCAGCCACTGGTACAAAAAACAAAACAAAACAAAACCAAAAAAAACCTGCATTAAAAGTTAGTACAAAATAATATTAGATTTAAAAATTGCTAAGCCTGGCATGGCAGTACATTACTATCCTCCTGGTACTCAAGAAGCAGAGGTAGGAAGATTGCCACAAGTTTGAAGCTAGCCTGGGTTACATCGTGAGTTCAGGGCTAGCCTGACCTACATAACTAGCCCCTGTCTCAAAACAAAACAAACACAAATAAACAAAAATTGCAAGCTACAAAGTCAATAAAAAGGTATCCAAGGCTGAGGTGGGGAATGTAGTGAATCTCTTCTCTACTTTCCTAAAAAAAAGTCATACATGGTCAAGGGGTAAATGACTACTATACAAAGTAATTCACCAAATCTGCACTGAGTCAATTAACTTACAATAATTTAAAACATTATATACAGTTTGAGTTGAAATGCCATGTTCTTTCTATGAGAACTGTTTCTGAAATAGCTGATAAATTATAAAATGCTTACCTTTGCCCTATGTTCAACGTTGGCTTTGCGGTCCAGAAGCAAACTCACTACTTCTGCTCGGCCCTGGAAACAGGCCAGTGTGAGAGCCGTGTTCCGATTGGTCTCTATCTGAGCATTAATGTCTGAACCCATATCAAGAAGCAGTTTCACTGCAGGAACGTGTCCATTCATCGCAGCCAACATCAGGGGAGAAATACCTAGTTTACTCCCAGTCCTAAGCGGGGGGAGAGATGCTTAGAAAATTAAAATAATATGTTGTTTTTATTTTTAAAAAAGCATTTGAGACAAAAATGTTTCAGTAAAAAGAAAGATCTCTAAGACTGATAAATAGATTTTATTTATTTAGGCCAATAAGGAATAGGAAAATCTCACAATTTAAAACATAATTCCTACTTTAGGGTTGTAAGTTTTCATTACAGCCAACAAAATACTTTTTGTAATGAGACCTCTTTAAAAGAGGCCATATCGGGGCTGGGGATTTAGCTCAGCGGCATAAACGCCTGCCTTGGGAGCAGGCAGTCGTGAGTTCGATCCCTGGTACCGATAAAAAAAGGAAAAAGATAAAAAAAAAAAAAAAAAAAAAAAGAGGCCATATCATTAAAATAAACTAAGATTATAGGAATAACTTTTTGGAATAATGCTTTTGTGCAAACATTTAGGGGAAGACACAACTTTAAAGTAATAACTTAGTATCCATGAATAATAAAATGAATAAACAGATGATACCTTGAATTAATTTCTGCCCCAGCATTAAGCAGAATCTTAATGATATTGACATATCCTCCAGATGCAGCTAGACTCAGGGGTGTATAATCAGACACATTCCTGTGCTCTTTGTTTGCACCTCGAGCCAGCAGCAAGTCTACCACCTGCAAAGTATAAACAGAGAAACACAGTTCACAGCAAAGGCTCAACTTACAATGAAGGAAGCACAAATATACAGGACCTAATAACCTCTTTGTCCAAATATGATAATTTTGTTTTTGAGAAAGGGTCTTACTATGTAGTTCGGGCTCTCCTTGAACTCATTATGTTGCCTAGGCTGGCCTCGAACACATGGTAATCCACCTGCCTCAGCCTCCCAAGTGCTGAGATTACATGCGTGCACCACCAGGCTGAATATATTTTAGACTGTTGGAAGAATGACATTTCCAACTGTTGAAGGGTAAATTTAAATTTCACATGTATTAGAATTATAGTTCATTCAGCCCCAATAAATGTAAAAGTAATTTTTATTTACCCTTAAGGGCAAGAAGCAAATTCCGGGGCTGGGGATTTAGCTCAGCGGCATAAGCGCCTGCCTTGCAAACAGGCAGTCGTGAGTTTGATCCCCGGGACCAATAAAAAGGAAAAAGACAAAAAAAAAAAAGAAAAAGAAAAAAGAAAAAAAGAAGCAAATTCCTTAAATGTACATTTGCTGGGGCTGGAGATTTAGCTCATCGGCATAAGCACCTGCCTGGCAAATGTGAGGTCATGAGTTCGATCCCCAGTACAAAAAAAAAAAAAAACATTTGCTATGCCCATTAAACTTAACAAAAGTATCCCACTCCTCAGAAACTACGTGGAACATGTCAAAATACAAAGTGAAAATTAACATACCTCCTGACGTCCACCAGAACATGCTAATGAAAGTGGAGTATCCTTAGTTCGTTCAGATTGTGCTTCTATATCTCCACCTTTATCCAAAAGGATCTCAACAACTCCAACATGCCCTGCTGTTGCTGCCAAGATCAGTGGTGTGAAACCTAAAGCAGAAAATAAAAATGAAATTTGTGGGTTTTATTTATTTTAAAGCCACTGTTTTTAATTCTGTTACTTTATTTAAAAAAAAAAATTCAGGACAGTAATTGATAACTTTCTAGCATAAAACTACTTTAAAACTAATTTGTTATTAACAAAAATCTAAACATACCTGACAAAATGGAAAGGCTAAGTTAATAAAAACTATTAAAATCTATAGTCACAATGAACTTTGATGCTCTTGTATGAACTACCTCAGGATTAAGGAAAAGAGCAGGCACACTTTTGGCGTGCATGTGTGTTGGTTAAGGACCTAATCCAGATCCTTAAGCATGCTAGGTAAGACTTTTACCTTTGAGCAACACCCTCAACTCTATGACTTAGACTCATGATTCATGTCTAAAATAAATTTTTAGAGAATTATTTGGTTCTGTAGATTAATAAAACTGGATATTGCTTCATCTTCTCACTGAGACAGGGTAAGAATTACAGGTAATAAAAAAGCTACAACTATTTTCTGATGTAACTACATTTAGATTTTATTTGAGACTGACACTTACCTTTTTTGTCTCTGTGCTCAATTTTAGCATCCCGTGCAATAAGTACAGATACAAGTTCTTCATGACCACCAGCACAAGCTAGTGTTAATGCTGTGTCATGATTGCTCTCAGTCTAGGAAAAGAAGAAAAAATGTTACTTATTGGAATTTTTGTTTTTTGAGACAGGGTCTCACCACGTAGTTCAGCCTGGCCCTGAACTTGCTATGTAGCCAAGGCTGGCTTTAAACTTTTGGATGATTCTTCTGCCTCAGCCTCCTTAAAACTGGAACTATGGGTATGTACCATCAAGCCTGGCCTAAAAATGTTACTTTTTGTTACAAAATTTTTCAGTTGAAGAGATAATATTTTGCTTCATTATGAATATACGGTGATAATTTTCCTTTCCAAACAAAATTAAAATATGCAAAATAAGTTTAAATCAGTCTACTCACATGAGCATCAATGTCAACTGAAGGATACACCAGGGGCATAGGTTGGGGAACCATATTGCTTGGAGTCTGTGAACAGGATTCAGGTGTAAGACATTCTGTGATCTGAGAGGAACTATTTGAACCAGTGGGCACTCTGCTACTCACAGCTGAAAAACAACATTCATATTGTTAAATTTCATTTTAAAAAGTAAGGTTGTGTGTACATAGAAAAGCACAAAAAAAAAAATTTCCACAGTAAGTAATATACTATAAAGGTTAAATCACAAGTTTTGGAATCAGGAAAAGCTATAATTGGATTCCCAGTTCTACCACTGACCTTCTGAATTTGAGCAAGTAATCAAACTTGTCTGAGCCTTAATTTTCTTTATATGTAGAATGAGGATAATAATAGCACCTGTCTTAGAAAGCTGTTTCAAAGGTCACTTGAGACAATGCACAAAAATACCTAACACAGTGCTTGATATGTAGTGCATATACAATAAATAACAGCTTTTTACATTGTCAAGAGTAATATAATTTCCAACTTAAAAAAAATTATACATCTTAGTTTATCTAATAAGATAAAAACACCCTACGGATAACACAGAATAAAAAAGAGAAGGAAGGGAAGAAGTTAGAATATTTCTTACATAATATGTGCTTTTTACTTTCAAAATTTGTTAAATCAGTGTTGGGGAGAAACTTTTTAAAAATGAACACTGCAACTTTATGAACTTAAAAAATATGGCGCTTGAAAAGTTAATTGAAAGTTATATCTTTTACATCTTTGAATATTTCTAAAATTTCATAGGATATGGAACCTGACCCACAGAAGAAATAACAGGACCTATCTCAGACGTTGTGACAGTTTATGAGATAATGTTACTTAAAGCATTTAACACAGTGTTTGGCACATGATGAGTGCTCAATAAAAGTAATTATCAGATACTTTAAAGACAGTACTATCATTCACTGTGTAAAAAATGAAAACTATTCACTCTAGAAAACAGTCAGAAAAAAACATAATCATCAATACTATAAAAAAATGAAGCTTCAGTAATGACAATAACCTTACATTTACACTCACATTAAAAGTCACAAAAGACTTAAAGGAAAATGTAAGGATTTCAACTGTTAGAAAGTGATTTTTTTTGAGCATTTGATATGACTAAATCCCAATCAAATATACTGTGTCCCAATATAAGGATTTTGGTATAACTGATCTCAATCAAGGTTCACAGCAAGTAGGAATGACTCAGTTTACTAAGATGCTAGTTTAAATAACTTAGCAAAGTTTAAAATGCCTAGTTGTGTTTCTGTATAAGCCATTCCCCACCAATATATAAAACCATCTTGTCAGTACAAATTTTGGTAAATGTAATCACCATATATGTAACTTAATTCAACTATCCAGTTATAAATAGGAATGATTATTATATATACTTGTTTCACCTATGAGAACATGCATAACAAAAACAAAGCTTTAAAATTTTTTATTACACAAAAAGAAGACACTATTCTGTTGTACCTCCTTAGAAGAGTTGCTTTGTCTGGAAAATAGCTCAAAAAACAAACTCACAAAAAATCACCACACTTTATAGATATGTAGCACTTTAATAACAGTGAATAGTCTAATTTCTGTTATGCTATATCTTAGTAAAGAACTACTTTTCTGTCATTGTTTATTCATGTTATCTTTTTTATTATGAAAAGCACATATTTAAAATTTTTTAAATGTTTGGCATGTTATGTTGGAATATTATGCAATGAAAGACTTCTTTACAGAGTGAATTTTAAAGTATACTTTTATGTATTTAACAGCTCTTTTACCAAAAATATATTGTTACATCAGTTATTGTACATTTTTGTACTACATTATCCTAGAAGCATTTTGTCTCCTTGCAATAATGACAGTCAGAAACATTCAATAGAAAGTGACTTTAATAGAATTAATTACAAATGAAAAGTTATAAAAATAAAATCAGAAAATAGCAAGAGATTTAAAAGGTACATGTGGAAAAAAGGCTATAATTTGAGGACATTATACCAGAATGCTGACATTTTTATAAATCCTAAAATGTATCCTACCTGGAATGAATTATGTTTGAAAATGACTAAGACCACTACCATGAAGATTACTGTATAATTTAAAATAAATTTATTCAATAGTCTAAAATGGGGTATAGAAGAACTAGCAATACTATTCTGACTTTTTAAAAAAATGGTACTGGAGATCAAACCTAGAGTTGCTGTCTCACTGATCTATATCCGTAGGCCTTGTTTTATTTTTTATTTTGACAGAGTATCTAAGTTTCTTGGGCTAGCCTCAAACTTATAATGGACCTGCCTCAGTCTGTAGTAGTTGGAATGACAGGTATGTGCCACCACACCCAGATTAATTTGATCTATGAATCTGAAGAAAAGGTTTTATAGGTGGTATGGAATAAATCTTATTTTTTAAATTCTTATTACCAGGGGTACAAAGATATGTTATATGATTTTTAAAAGAAATTTAATTGCTATAATCTGTTCTATAAAAGTAACTATTATTAACTAGCTTCATTTAAATAAAAGACTAAAAATAAAATACTAGAATTAGAGGATTTTTTTTTGAGAGAGTGAGAGAAATGTTTGGTATGTATTTCAGTATGTTCTTGCACACGAGGCAATCCTCCTGCCTCAGCCTCCAGATTACTGGGATTACCAGGTGTGTGCCACTATGCCTTATTTAATGCAAATGCTCTCAAAATAAAATTTTATAATTTTTAAAAATTTTTTGGTTTGTTTTGTTATTTTGAGACAGGGTCTCTTTATGCAGTTCAGGCTGGCCTTGGGCTCACTTTGTTACCCAGGCTGGTCTCAGACTTGCAAAGATTCGCCTCAGTCTCCCAAGTGCTGGGATTATCGGTGTGTGCTACCACACCCAGCTTTTAAAAATTCTTAACCTACACTGACAATTGCAGTTACTTAAATTAACATTTGTTTAGCACGTCTTTGTTTTTATTTTGTTTTTGTACCAAGAATCAAATTCATGACCTCAGGTTTACTAGGCAGGTGCTTTGCCGCTGAGCTACATCCCGAGCCCTAAACCAACATTTGTTAAAAATGAAATTTAGGACAGCATGTAAGGGTGTCAATAGTAACAAGACACCAAAAAGTCCAAAATCTTACTAGGCAGGTCATGTAGCACTGAGCTACAGCCATATTTTTAAAAAAAAATTTTAAAAATGTTTTTAGCGCTAGGGAGTGAACCCAAGGTCATCACACTGAACTACAACTCCAGCTTTTTAACTTTTTTTTAAAAATTTTGAACCAGGGTATCACTAAATAGCTCAGAATGAAATTGAACTTAAGATCTTCCTGCTACACTCTCCTGAACAGTTGGTATTATAGGGATATGCCACCACACCTGGCTAGATCTAAGATTTTAAAATGTGGCTGAATTGAGTTTGAATACTGGCAATTATTAGCAACTTCATTTCCCTAAGCTTCTCTTTTTAATAAGAAAATAGATGGGAAAAGGACCTATTTTTTTTTCTACTCTTTTTTTTTTTTTTTTTGTGGTACCAGGGATTGAACTTACAGCCTCGCGCTTACCAGGCAGATGCTTATGCCGCTGAGCCAAATCCCTGGCCAGCACCTATTTTTTTAAGATAATTACAAATAGCCTGTAAGATAATATAACATAAACCATTTAGGATAGCACTTGGTCCATAAATGCTCAGTAAATGTAAAGAAATTGATATTTAACCAGTTTTCTTTATATATTAGGAATGAAATTTTTAAAAACTGCTCAATGGTCAAAACTATTTTCAGTTTCTTTAAATCACTTTAAATTTCTAGACATATGAACTTTTGCTACTATGGTAACTAGTAAAAATCCAACACTCACTTTCAAAAGAAAACAACTTGACAAAACATGTTCCTAATCAAGAGAAAACATATATGTTCTATTTAGGACTACATCAAGAATGTCGTCTATAGGACTACATACTAAAAGGCTGTTATTCAGCTAATCAAGACATGACACGAATTATGTATACAATCGACTCACCATGACAGTTATTTCCAAGGTAAAACAGCAAGCTTTATTGCTACTACATATATTCTCTAAAATAAAATTTTAACATATAGATTATTCTCTTTTATGAAACGTGAATGAGAATTCAATTTAGGTAAAATTAACAGTATCTGTGGCTTGCTCTATTCTCCTGTCAATATATTATTGTATTTTACAATGTTGAATTAGGTCTTAATCTAATCTCTTTTATCTTTGATTGAGAAAATTAACAGAAACTTAGATTTGGAAACAATAATTATTTTAAATTTTGAGTGAGATTATCTTGAACAAATACAGTTATTGCCATGTATTTCAGACATAACTTTCATACAAATGGACTTTATATGAAATTAATTTTTAACTTACTGGGCTGATTTAAATGTTAAAATTCATCAATAAGAGAATACTATAAAATGTGATAAGTATTAATGTTTAACATAAGTTTATTAGTTCATATTAACATTATATATAATTTCAAAAATTTCCTAAGCTCGTTTTTTAAAGTTTCATGAGAACTTTGTGAAAGGCATTACCATTTAACAAATACTTCAGTGAAATAAACGCTTTTCCTATAAAAGTCATCTAAGTATTACCATAACATTTAACACCTACAAGTTCCCTTTTGATCTATTTCTACAGTCATGTGGTATTGGGGAGTGAACCCAGAGCCATTCACATGCTAGGTAAGCATTCTACTACTTAGCCATATCCCTAGTCCTTTTTATTTTTATTTTTTAAATTTTGAGAAAGGATCTTGCTGAATTGCCTAAACAGGGCTCTAACTTTTGATTCTCCCACTTTAGATTCCTGAACAGCTAAGATTACATGTGTCATCATGCTCTGCCTCTACAATTTTTACTCTTTTAAAAAAGGTTCTGTCTTGACCAGTAATATATGTTTCATAACTATAAACTGAGTAATTAATTAGGAACATAATGCTACTTACAGAACCATAAGTCTTAAAAATGTTATTTTCAAGTTACTAGTTTGGTCATTATTATTCATAATCATATTTCACGTTCCAATATCTTTTTACCCAGATTATGAATTAGAACTACAAAAAGTTTATTCACAATGTTTGTTTAATGCTATAGTACAAAGTTTGAGTTAAGTGGCTGTGTGCTGAGAAATACAAAACTCCAAATTAAACAATAAAGAGCCTAACTTTTTAAAACATTCCCCAACACTTTAATTTTCTTTAAAACCACCAAAACATTCTTCTACACAGCTATACCTATTACATATCAGAGGATTCGCAAAGCAATATCATAATTCTGTAGCCAATGGAAGTTATACACATGCCCAATAAAATTCCTAATTTAAGAAATCTTACTCCACATTTTAAAAGATTCAGTAATGATTAGGAAGACTAAAAAGGCTCACAAAAGAAAGAGGAAACTGGGATAGCATAATCAGGATGAGAGGAGGAGAGTATGACATGAGGAAACAGACAACAGTAAGGAAAAAAAATGTTGCAATCAAGAGACAGAGGACTGGCCTGCCTTTGAATATCACTCCAGCTACATCTTAGTTCTTGATCTTCATCCACTGTCAACAGCCATTCTGGCTGCATTTCTGAACTGGGCTCTCATGGAGGTGATACATTCACCAGCCATCTTTAGGAAGGTAAATGATTAATTGCACTGTTTTCCCACTGCTGCAAGGACAATGAAAGGGAAAGTAAACTTGTGCACCTCATTTCATATCTAGTTGTAATTTTCCACACAACAATAAACAGAAACATATATTTTATCAGGGCTTTTTTTTTTTTCTCTTTCTGTGTTTGTGTGTGTGTGTGTGTGTGTGTGTGTGTGTGTGTGTGTGTGTGTGAAAGACAGAAAGAGTAGAGCTATCTGTATGTTTGGTGTATCTGTATGCTTTCACCAAGGTTTAGAATTCCAATCTCTAAGTGATGATAATTTATATTTAATCTTCTAACCACAAATCTTAATACATAGAATTTCTCTGAACATTTCATTTAGTTAAAAATAATTAAATTGGTCTGGTAACATTATAAAAAAAAGCAGTGTGATATTAAAATTATGATTTCCAAACATGAAAATCACCTCGAGGAATATTTTGATATATAGTCGTACACAGATAACTCTAAAACCTATAAAGAAATTGCACTTTGAGAGTTCTTTCGAGAGGGTGGCTTTTATATTAATGGTCTGAAATAAACATTATTTATTTATTTTGCCTTCAAAATGTGACAAGAGAGAAGAGAGAGAGAGAGAAACATTTTTATGGGTTAGTGCTATTGAACTCCATTGAATTCACTTTTAAAATAACTCAAGAAATGAGTAATTTTACAAAATAGTTCTAAAGTGGAATAGTACAAAGTCTGTGTTTTTGGAAGGGTATGTAAAGAAGTTGATCACACAGATTAAAGAGAAATTATTACAGATATATTTCTTAACCCACCTGCTATCAGGTCATCAAGAGTGTCGGTAAGCGTCTGGGCTGGAGTTGCAACCATTAGTCCATCTGGTTCTGGCACTAACAGCCCCTGATCATGGCCAGTAATAGCAATGTGAGGCTGTCCTACAATTTGCTGATTACCTGATAATTTCTGTAGTTCAAGAGAATTTGTCCCATTAGAACCTAAGTCACTGGCAAAGTTACACTGTGCAGGTGATAAAGGCTGGACTGGGACAAAATCAATTTGCTCTGCCGATGGTGAAGACTGCTGCTCATCATCATCGTTATTATCTTTAAATAAGATTGTGTCAACCTGAGGTAATTCTGAAAAGTGATCCTCTGGAAGACTACCAGCTCCTTCTCCTTCTGGGAGGACTCCTCTATGAGAGCACTGCTGGTGCAGAGACACTGTGTCTTTCTGACCTTTGGTTTCCAAGTATTCTTTGGTAAATTGCTGTTGTGTTTTCATCTGCAATTGCCTTTCCACTTTCTGCAGTTCTTTCAGTATTTTCTTCTTCTTCTGGACTTGTTCTTCTCTGTTCTTTTTAAGTTCTTCTATCTTATCTTTGTTCAGAGGTTCACCTTGAATTAACTCCAAAGACTTAAGCTGGGCCTTTTCAATAGCACTAATTCTTTGTCCCAGTTCATTCAGCTTGCCTTCAGTCTCCTCTACTATGCACTCCAAAGGCTGGTATGGGTGAAAAGGTGGCAGTAGGTCCTGATCTGCTACCTGCAGGGAACTGGACTTCTGCTTGGATGTACCTAAGCACACGAAAAATGTTTGAAAAAGTGCCATGCTATAAAAAAAAAAGCATCCCTCCCCAACACACATGGACTTCCCTCCCCAAACCATTATAACGAATGTCAGAGAATGAATTTTCAGAGTCACACCAGTGTTAGCCTCTACTATTTCATCTGTTTCACTCAGCATAAACTGTGCTGTTGCAAATTTTTTAAAAAATGTGAATTTTTCAAATAACTTACTCTGAAGGGTAGGAGAATTTTAGAAAGACAAGGGTAAGGAGAAAAGAAAAACAGAAGAATCTCAAATTTTTTGCTGATTAGACTGAACTTTTAAAAAATCTCAAATCTAATACAATTCAAAATACAGCTGAGAATAACATTAATGTTAATGTCTGCTCCACAGCCTACTTAGAACAACTGTTCTTTTCACATTTTCATTGTGAAACTAAAGGAACCAAACTTAAGGATCAAAGTATGGAAAAGAACTTTTTAACTTTCAAAATATTTCTCTTGTATTAAAATATAATGTGAAATTAGTTTATCTCAAGATATTACCTTATTAAAATTCTCCATTAAATAAGTCTCTGATACTTGTATATTTGAACACTATATTAAATTTGTATCTCAAGGATAATAAAGTTCAGTGAGGTAAACAATGAATATTCTTAGTAGAGTATCAGAGTTCTCATATACGATTACTCAAACTGACACTGCATATTAAATACAAAGGCAATATGTATTATTTTAATGTATTAATTATATCTAAGTTATCCCTTCATAGCAAGTTGGATGAAAATTGTTATAGTCATTGTCCTATGATCTTGACATGAAATGAAAGAAATATACTTTTTGATATATAACTCTGCAGCAAATTCAGGGTTTAGTCATGCTTAGGATAAACTAGATCTACTGAGTAACAAGGACAAATTATTGACACATGCTACAACATGGATCAACCTCAAGAATGTCAAACAAGCACAAATGGCTTCCATACATTGCAATTCTATTTATATCTCTAAGGAGAAAAGGTAAATCTATAGGGACAGACAGAAGAGTAACTGCCTTGGCCATGAGCAGTTGGAAGGAAGCTCCCATTACGAATAAGCACAAGAGATCTTTGTAGGGTGATGGAATTGTTCCTAGATGATGGTGGTGGTCACACAACTGAGTAAATTTACTAACTCATTACATTGTACATTTAAAATGAGTTAGTAGTATGATTCGTAAATTCAACAACAATAAAATTTTTTAAAAAGAAATAGGTAAATTAATAGTTACCTATTCTTTTGGATTGCAGTTTATGTGAATACCATGGGTTAAGAATTTTAAAAATAAAATCATCTAATATATTGAAAATGATTTTCAAATTCTAGTTAAAAAAAAGTACCCTTTAGATGTTAAAACGCTCTAAAGAGGATGACAAAAGTACCAAACAAAACAAATAAATCAATAAATATGTAAATAAGGAATTAAGTAAGAAATCCATCTTCCTGTTTGCTAGAAGTGGAGATTTCAACAATGCAGGTAGTTCATTCATGAAAAATGTTTTATTATCACAAAATAAGAAAATCACAGTTCCAATATGACTATAGTCACTTTCAGAGACTTTTTCCTTAAAAGTTAACCTCAGCAAAGTGTATTGTTTATATTCAACTTTATTATTTCTACCTAAGCAAAGTGGTGGGGAAAGACTATTGTTTCAGAACAAAAGCTATTAGATTTGTGAAATTTCTCACTACTGTCACAGTGACCTTATAAGACATTATAAAACCTATGTTTTGACTTATTGAAGTGCTTAATAATCAACAGGCAAGAAATGGGGAAATAATGACAGGTTAAAATGTAACAAATAACAATGTGCAAGTCCATTGGAACAGCAAGAACATATCTTGCAATAAATGCGATGATGTTAGCAGAATAAATTGAGAAGTTCTGCAAGAATGGATTCTCCTTTACATATTCTTTAATTTCAAAGTATCCTTATATAGTTACTATGTAACTATAATTAGGATTAATATTAACCAGATTAGTAATTGTATTATGACCTCATTGGGAGTTCACAGATTTAAAATCCTTGTAAATAGTAAGATGATCCAAAATAAAACTATAATTTTGAGGGCATTAATAAATAGAAATGGTACTGTCTGCTGTTAACAAACACTATATCAGAAGCTTACAGCACAAGTTTACTGAGTAATTTATTTAACTAAATAAAAATATTACAAACCCAGAATATATAAAGAATATATAAGAAAGAAAGTAATGCACAAAAAGCAGTTCTTCCCCCCAACAGTCAATGTTTGAGTGTCTGCAACAAGAAAGTTAGCAGAATTGCCTAGATACACATTGAAGTACTAACACAGGCCTGATTATCAATAATAAGCTAGCTTGGCAAAAATCAGATAATATCATCTAATTAATCTTAGAAGCTATAGCAACATCAATTACTAAGTAAGGCAGAGAGTGTCACAAGAGTTCATTTAACAACAAAAAGTCAATAGATAGTATTACTAGATACCAGAAAATAAGACATTCATCTCTGTTAGATACAAATACATAAATCTATTAATTGGTGACACCCTAAGGAACAATTTAGCTGTCTTTGGTTGGGGGGTGCTGGGGACTGCACCCACAGAGCCTTGGGGTATGTTAGGCAGGCCTTACCACTAAGCCACTCCCCAATCCCATGAAGTACAATTTAAAAATATAAAGTCACCATTTGATCTTTTTAAATTTGATTTCTATATTACTTTTTTGTTGTTGCTGCTATTTACCTCATATTGCTTCTCCAGTTAAAAAAATTAGAAAAAGTTTTCAGTAAAAACCATGATATGCAGTGAGGGAACTGAGTGAACGTGAACTTGTATTTACTATTTCTTTTTTTTTTTTTCGGTACTGGGAATTGAACTCCGGACCTTGCACTTGCCAGGCAGGCACTGTGCCACTGAGCTAAATCTGCAGTCCTATTTCATTTATTATTTAAGTGATCTTACTCATAGCTATCATTTTGGGGTCTAAAATAATGAGTATACTGTGCAACAGGAAAATAGTGGCAAAGGAAAAATACATTATCTACAGATGAATGTAGACTTGTTTTCGTATTTCCTTATGTAATCAACTTTAAACCTTAATCTGCAGTTCCCTTGATTCTTCTATCATCACATACCACCCTACATTTTTGTTTTGCTTTTTTATTTTATTTTGTGTGACAGGGTCTTACTGTGTAGTTCAGGCTGGCCTTGAACCCACTAACGAGCCGAGGCTGGTCTCTAACTCTTGGGGATATTTTTGCCTCAGCCTCACAAATGCTTGGATTACATGCATGCACCACCATGCCCAGCCTCCGACCCTTTATTTATGAGTAGTATTCTCAAATGGGTCTTCCATAGTAAATAGGATTGATACAGTAGAATTTAAAATAGCATAAATGCATTAAGTGGAGTTATATATATATCCTAATAGAACTGGTCTTTGATGAGCTGATATATGTTGTGTTCTGCATTTCAATAAACAGTATTTATTTTGGTCAAAGTAAAAAATTAAAATCACTGGGCTGGAAGTGTCTAACTTTTCCTTTATGTCTAAATACTTGTCTCACAGATCCCCAAATTGAGGATTTTTAACATTTTAAATAAGAGTGTCCAAAAAAAGATCATCTGTGTTCCACATGCTAACAGATTCACTCGACCCTTCTCCTTTTACTAAGAACAGTTAAATGTAAAAAATACTATTAAATTAGGACATATGTTAAATTTGTATAAGCATGGCTACATAAAAAAAACCTGACTAAACTAGACATTAGAAAAATTTACAGAGGAACATTAAATTTCACCCAGTGTATATGTAATTTTTCTGTATATTTCTAATGATTTGATATAAATACAAGAACTTCAAGATATCTACTCCAGTAAACTACTCTGGGATACAGAGCAGTATATTAATTTTCATCATTCTGTAATATTTTGTTTTTTAAAAAAATATCCTTGTTAATTACAATGTGTCTCTTGACAATTCTAAAAATTTTCTTCTGCCTTTAGAATAATCTGTGTTCTTAGTCCAGTACTCATTAGTTTATTCAGCAAATATAACAGTTTCTAGTATAAACAAGGCAGTGTGGAACATATAGAGATAAGCAACATAAGCCCTGCCCTTGAAGAGCTTACAGTCTAAGTGGGGAGATAATAGATAATAGCCCAAGAAAATTCTTATACAGAAATGTGTGTGTGTGTGTGTGTGTGAGACTGAGACTGGGGATTGAACTCAGGGCTTTTGCTCTGAGCTACATTCCCAGTCTTATAAAATTTTGCTATTTTGAGGCAGGGTCTCGCTAAATTGCCCAATCTGGGCTTTGATTTGCAGTCTTGCTCCCTTTGCCTCTCAGAGTACTAGTGATTGCAAACATGTGGTGCCATGTTTGGCTTCTTACAGACTTATAAAATATAATACAAGGATTTATCAAAGCACTGTCCGAGGAGGTAAGAAATTAATGGCAATCTGGTATCATCACCGGGGAAAGGTAAAACAAGCAGAATTTGCAGTACAGGGTAACGCACAACACTGCAGGGCATGAAAGAATATCTGAAGCCATGCATGGGGCTCCATGCCTATAGTCTCAACTATTTGGGAGGTTGAGTTAGGAAGAGCACAAGTTTCAGTGCAATGTAGACCTTTTAGTGAAATCCCTTTTCTTTCTTTCTTTTTTTTTTTGTCTTTTTCATTTTTATCGGTACTGGGGATCGAACTCACGACTGCCTGCTTGCAAGGCAGGCCCTTTCCCGCTGAGCTAAACCCCCAGCCCCGTGAAATCCCTTTTTAAAAGGGGTGGTAGTGGTGGTAGACTATCTGAGTAAAAAATATATATCAAACACCGAGGTAATATTTAAGGACATGAATATATTTCAAAAGGATGCGAATATAAATAAAAATGTTTATTAAATATAGGAGTAAAATGTAGCAACTTGGAAAGATGATTGTTAGAGACTCTTAGTAAGAATTCAGTACTTCATCTTTAATCACATACTGTACATAGAATATACAGATTTAGAAGAAAAAAGGTCAAACATCAAGTTCACACTCAAAACTTTTCTAGAGACATAAAAGTGAAACTTTAAGGAAAAAAAGCAGCTTTAAGGAGAAAAAAAATAATACTGTATCTTTAAGACAGGCTTTTCTGACTACCCTGATAAATCAGTAAGTACTTTTATACCATCAACTGATTTTTCCCCTAATTCACAATAACATACATTCCATGTTGTGTATCTTAACACAATACATTAACACATTTTGATCCTGTGGAACTGGTAGGCAGCTAACAACAGGAAGTGCACAGATATAAATATTATTTTTTTCCTTCCCTAAGAATTTAATAAAATGACAGCTTCCTTAAAAGGTTATTTTATTATTTACTTTTCAGTAAATAATAAAATTTCAAAACAGCAAAATAATTATGAACTACCTTATATATAGTACATTCAGTAAGCAAAAAATATGATTACAGTGTCAATTTAAACATCACTAAGATTTAAGTTTACTTACATACTAAATCTACATTTAAAATGTTCTTTTTCCTCTCTGCACACATTCTATCTTGTTTCTTATTTTGTGAGAATCAATTAATTAGAAAAATTTCTTTGCCAATACTGTCCTGGGAATGAACTCAGGGCCTTCACACTGACCTACATCCCCTGCTCTTCTTTATCTTTATTTTGAGACAGGATCTTGCTGACTCACTCAGGTTGGACTTGCACTCACAATCCTTCTGTCTCAGCCTACCAGAATGCTGTGATTACAGGCACGTGCCACCATGTTAGTGTGTATTAATTTTTTTTAAAAGTGGTTTTTCATTAGAACTGAATTTTCCCAGCCAGCGTCACTATAGTCTTATATATGGTTTAGCCAAACAAAAAACACACATAGGGAGACAAATAGGAAGAGCGGGTGACAGAGAAAACTGCTAGAATTAGCTTAAAATCAAAGAGATTACAAATCATGTATGGTGATGCATGCATATAATCCCAGTATTCTGGAGGCTGAGACAGGAGCATTAGCACGAGTTCAAGCCAAGCCTGACTACATATCAAGACCCTGCCTGAGAGAGAAAGAGAGACAGAGACACAAACAGAGACAGAGACACAGAGAAAGAGAGAGACAGAGACAAAATACTTTATCTCTGAAATAGACTATAGATATTTATCCTCAAAATTAAGTAATCCTTACTGAAGGCCCTCAACATTTTATTTAAGGTGACATAATTACAAAATAGCTTCTGTTTGTGCCTAACTATAATATTAGATATTCATATACATTTACACATTGCATTTTGATTTCAATAATGCAGAATTTGATTATCACACAAATTAATAAATTTTTTGGTATGTTCATAAATATTTTAGGTTAGCTTTTTTTTTGAGGGATACTAGGAAATGGAACCCAGAGTCTTGAGCATTTAGGCAAATGAGCTACGTCCCTAATCCTTACATAGTTTTAAAAAATCCTACAAATTACCTATTTTATTTCAGAGAACTCAGATATTACAACTATGCATGATTATCGATTGAAGGTACAAATGAAAAGACATCAGAAAAAACCAGAGCTCATAAACCTTAGCCCTTTATATAGTTTATACTTTAATAGTCATTTGAATCTTATTTATTATATACATTTTGATTACTGTTTGTCAAGGTTCATATACTGACAGATGTTACTCACTATATTCCAATATCATATAATTGAATGTAATTCAATTACATTCAATTTCAAATGTAATTTTGAAACTTCTCATTTATTGAATTGATCCTATGAAGATTTAGTTATACAGCGAAAATACTTCATTCTTATTATGTTATTGTTTAGCTAAAGAAATATAAAATCACTGATAAAATTTTCTACTTTAATATAATAAAAATGTGATTTGCTTAAGTATTTTCATCTCTGCCAGCTGAAAACTATATCTAACAATATATTAACAATAAAATTGTAAGTTATTTTTTCTAGCATTTATGTCTTTAGGCTGTAAGACTATTTGCATTTGTCAGAATTATCTACCTCAAATATGGCTACATAGTAACTATGAACTATTAAATTTAAATTAGAGTTTTAGATTTTTTAAAATAAAGTTTAAAAAAATACCAATTTTAAGGCAAATGATTAAACAACTAACCTTTCTGTACTCCTATAAGGGCAGGGGAGTACTCCTGTGAAGTTCTGTCAGGTTCCTGGGGAGGTACAACCATGGCAAGTGTATGCATTGGTACACGTGGAACCTAAAAGGTCAACTCAGAAAAAAACCATCTCAGACCGTAGACTAACAAAAGTCCATAAATAAAACTGAGACATTGGTTGAGACTACCTTTATATACCACCAAATTCACTTTTGTTTCCTAAAACTTGAAAAATAAAAAAAGTCTTTGCCAAGGAACAATTTCTGAGAATATTAATTGAGAAACTGAGACAGTCTACAAGTAGTATATGATTTAAGTCAAGTAAAATTAACATTACTGTCTTACTGAAAAGAAAGTTTTGCTCATACCAGTTATCTAAAGGAGTATAATTTTCATACTCTTCCTTGGTTAATTTTGTTCAAATTTTAATTAAGTCCGAAAAAAGAAAATAACAATATAAAATATTTACTAAATTGGGTTATTCTCACAATTTGCAGGATAAATGTGTAAAAAAGAATTAAATATTTCAAAACCTAGTATGCTCTGTATACTTTATTTTCTTTATGATTTTAAGTAGCTTTAAAACTTAGTTTAATGAACTTTTGGTAAGTATATCCTGGTTAACTCTACTTTTCCCAGTTGACAAAAACTGCTAACTCCAAGATAATATCGCCTGGAAAGGTATTAAGGAAAAGCTTTTTTTTAAGTTCAAGATTATGTTCAATGTATTCATTAAAAAACAGAAAACTAAAAATCTAGTTATGGTAAGATCATAACTTGGAATACTTATGTTTGATAGGTTTTTTGACTATTATCTTTAGTAAATAAAGACAAAAAGTTTCATCTCTCTCTGAAGAAAATAAATTTTAAAGCATTTAGGATTATGACCATCTCAATATATAATGGCAAACAGAACAAATTTTGCTTAAAACTAATTTTCAACAAAAAGTTTCAATCACTTTGAAGAATATTTTATTAACAAACTCCATTTTACTTTACCTGAGATTGATCTTGAGAAGGTGGGGTAAGTTGAGATATATCTGTGGTAGGAACTGACAGAACATTGTTGGGATAATCCAATAGATAAGAAACAACATTAGTGTGGCCACCCTTTGCAGCTTCAATAAGCATTGTTGAACCATCCTGAGAAAAAATTAATACCATAATTAATTCTTTGGAAATCTCTTCTTATAACTTAACTGATCTATACATTTATTTTCTTAAAATTTCATATAGATCAAATTTCATGTAAAGAGTATTGAAACACTAAAAGAGCAAACATTTGTAAAATAATATATATTATTTATTTACTTATATTTAAGTAGAATAAATACCTTGAGTCGATGAGTAGGGTCAGCTCCATGAGCTAAAAGTAACTCAACAACTGCCAGATGGCCTCCTGCACATGCGAGTGACACCACTGTGTGATCATTATTAGCTGTAGCCCTATTCACATTGGCACCTTTAAAGAAACACAGTAACTTTAGAGAAGGTTGAAATCAATCCACTTCACAGACAATATTTAAAGCTTTTTTTTGGAAGTATAACATAGACACAAAAAAGTGAATACATAAATATATAGTTCAAAAAACTTTCACAACATGAATATACTTGTGTAACCAGCATCCAGATCAAGAAAAAGAACATTATCCACATACCAGAGGCCAATCCTACATTTCCTTTTGGTCACTCCTGCCCCCCAAACAACTACCCTGATTTCCAAACTGGTTTTAGTTTTTAAATTTTATATGAATTGAACCATACAATATATTCTTTTGTGTCTGGCTTCTTTCATTCAATATTATATTTGTGAGATTCATCCACATTGTTACACATAGTTGTAGTTTGTTCACTCAATATCATTTTTTAAGTGGAAAATCTAGAAGACTGAGCTTAATAAATATATATATGTATATATATATATATGTATGTATATATATGTAAATGTAAGCATCAAAAATACCATTTATGTAACTCTTAGAATATTTCATAGTTACTTTTGATATAGAAAGTGGTTATATAGCTGGGTTTCAAAGTACAGAAAATAAATTTTTAAAAACCAATATTTAAAAAAATTACAGAGCCAGGCTTGGTGGCACACACCTACAATCCCAGTGCTCCAGAGGCTGAAGTAGGAGGGTCACAATGAGTTTGAGGCCAACCTGAGCCACATGGCGAATTCAAGGCCAGTCTTAATTACATAACCAGACTGTTTCAAACCATCCTCCTCCCCCACAAAGAGAGAGAAATATAATTCTTCATATTGTGTAATTTAAAATTCAGAGAGAGACAAGTGTGGTGGTACACGCTTGTAATCCCAGCACTTCAGAGGTTGAGGCAGGAGGATTGCTATGAGTTTGAGGCTAATATGTGCTGCACATCAAGACCTTGCCTCAAAAACAAAAAATAAAAACAAAACAAAAAACCCGAGAGACCTGGATATGGAAAGAAAACAAGATTATTCAAATGTTATTTCAAAGACAAGTAAATTTAACATAATTTTGTACAATATGACCTGAAGTTTAAGTGCGAAATCTTTTCTTAGCCTGTGTGTGTGTGTGTAGTGGTGTGGTGGTGGTATACTGGAGCCTTCACAATTAGCTACATCCCCAGTCCTTGTATTTTTAAACAGGGTCTCGCTAAATTGTGATCTTTCTGTCTCAGCCTCTCAGAGTATTTAGGATTATAGGTGAGCACCACTATGCCTGGTGCTAGCCTCTTTTTTGATAAAATTTTTTGATCCCTGATAAGAGGAACTGATTTTTTAGCTTGGCCACTATACATAGTCCCAAAAGGTCTCAACTAGAATATTAACACTATCCAAATATTCATTTGTTTTCTTCAATTCCAGACTTATTTTATATAAGAGAAAAGCCTGTGTATAAAACTCCTAACTCATTTAATTTTTCAGGAAATATATCTAACTGAATGTAATCCCAAACTTAAGTGGCATGTGGCATTGGTAGTATAGTAGTGACATAGCTGAATTTCAAGCTTAAGTTGCATCAAAGTATGTTTCAGGAAAGATAAGACATAGCAATGAATAGCCTTACATTAGCTACATGTGATTATTTTTAAATTTGTTAATAAATTTAGAATGTGGGACTCTTTGGCAGTTTTTATGGCCTAGAATAACTAAAATCACCAATTGGTGTGCTCCGATTCCTGTCAAGTCTGATCATTTTCTTTGCAGGGTTGTTACTGAGTATGACTAGGCATTCTCTTTAACAAAGAAGCATATAAAAACTCCAAAAGTTGTTCATCTTTATATTAGCTCTGTGTGATGGAGGTAAATGATTTTTACAAACCATATTATAAAACATTATGTAGAGATGTCCCTTATTTGGCAGCAAAAATGTGACATGAAAATACACCCATTTTTACCCAATAAGAGATGAAAACAAATACTTTTAAAATGAGAAAATCAGCAAAAACGTGACATGAAAATAAAGTTTTATCAAATTAAACAAGAACATTTCATGCGAGAAAATCTAATGCTACATTTTTTAGTGAAAAACATTCACTTTAAATATACATTTTAATTTTAATAATATGATGTTCCCTGAATGGATTTTTCTTGCATTTTAGCATTCTATCCTAAGATCTTCCATCAGATATTTGAGTACCTCTGATACTATACATAGACACTAAACCAAATGAAGTTAATGACACTAATGATCTACAGAATAACAATATAGAATAATTCAAACTAAAATGGGTTCAGCAACATTTCAGTTTCTTTAGTAAGTTCTAAATTAGTTCTTCACCCATCAGGTGAATTTCTTTACCTAAATGCAGAGTCTGCCAAAAAACTGTATATGTACTTCAGGAAAAGAAAAATATAATGTTTTTTCAACAGATGGCGTAATCCTTATATGGGGAACCGTAGAGAATGTTGTATATCACAGAAAACCTACAACACTGCCAGCCCTTAGAGAAGAAATTGAAAATGCATGTGTAGCAATCTCAGTGACCAAGGTTACCTAGGCAGCAGTTTGCCATCCTATATGTTTAAAAGCTATGGCCACCACTTTGAGAATATCTTATAAGTGTAGAGGCTAAAGGTAACTTGTATTATTCTCATGAGGTCTCAATAAATTAATATTAACATATTTGTACAACTTTTTCTTTTCCCAAAGTGTGTATACATTTTTTGATGGATTCTGTATACTATATATATATATATATTCTTTTAACAACAGAATTTCTAGGAGAGTATTAAAAAATCAGTTAGTGTGGCTATGTCTGTCATTCCATCTACTTGAGAGGCTGAGCCAGGAGTTCAAATCTAGCCTGGACAACACAGCAAGATCTCATGGCAAAAATAAGAAACAAGATCCTTATATACTGTTAATTCAACTATACTACACACATGGGATACCTTGCCATTCTTATCACCAGCAGAACTGTCTTACCATTAAGTATTAAACATCTATTTAGCATAGCTGACACTGACATTTGGCTTTTCCAATTTTAGGAAGCAATCATATGTTTTGTTGACAAAAATTTAAACTAATATAGAAAATTCCAGTAAGCAGCACACAAACACCATGCTTATTAAATAAAAGACACCAACAAAAGAATGGAATACAGGGGCTAGGGATTTAGCTCAGCGGCATAAGCGCCTGGCTTGCAAGTGCATGGTCATGAGTTCGATCCCCGGGACCGATAAAAAAAAAAAAAAAGAAAAAAGAATAGAATACAGAGCGAGAACTCAATATAAAAACTGGAGTTATACTACCACAATCAAGGAATGCCAAATATTTCGAGAGCAGCATCTGGAAATAAAGGCACAGGACATACTTTTCTCACAGGCCACAGCTGAAACTCATCTGCCAATACCTTGATTTTGAATCTGTAGCCTTCAGAAGTATGATGAAATAAATTTCTATTGTTTTAGCCACTAAGTTTGTGGTACTTTGTATCATAATATATAGTATATTCTAAAAAGATTTGAATATAGTATTCATACTGTAAGTTCAATAGCCTTAACATAAATTCCAACATTTAGGGATCTTCTCCTTCAGAAATTACAGTATAGCCTCTTGTAAATGATCACTTGTGTTTTCTTTACCTTTGCTGATAAGAAACTGCACAGTGCACAAATGACCAGCTCTTGCAGCTTTCATCAAAGGTGTTCTCCCACCTTCAGATTCATGCTCCTGTTAAAGAAACAAACGAACAGTAAAATCCACCAGTGCCAACTGATTAAATACACAGCACTTCAAAATAATATGAAATCACAATGATCATTGAAAGAGTTTAGTATTAATGATATGAGAAACAATGAAGATTTAATATATATTTATTGTAGGCTTACCATACCTTCCTCAGTTCTTCCAATATACTTTATAGGATTAATTTTAGTCCATATTAGGTGGTGTAACTTTTTAGGGGAAGTTCACTTTTGCATACCAAGCAAGTTATTAAAGATAAAGATAATACAAATGTTTAGTGTATATCCGCAAGAGAAATAACTTTATTTTTCTAATGCTAAGGTTAAGAAGATATTTTGGCAGCTATTCATCTGAATTGTGAAAAAATAGCCTGGAACTGTAAAGTGACTAGAGGCATCTTGATTTTTTATCAGAAGACCCTAAGATCTCCATCAAGAGATGGGAACAAATCCATAAAATAAAACAGAGTATTTTAGGAGTAAAGAAACAGAAAAAGAATACAGTAATGGGCAGACTTTTTTTTTTTAAAGTAGATTTTAAATACTTGATTAGTCAAAGGCAAAAAGTGTAGTCTTGTAATAGTAAAAAGGTCATTATTGGGCCAGGGATATAGCTCAGCAGTGCAATGCCTGCTTGGTGAGTACAAGGTCCTGAGTTCAATTCCTGATACAAAAAAAAAAAAAAAAATCATTATTCTTACTATTCTTACCAGCAAAAATGAATAAGCTGTTAGGCATGTTAGCACATGTGGGATGCTAAAGCAGGAAGATCACAAGCTCAAGGCCAGCCTGAGCAATAAACTGAGATCTTGTCTCAAAAAAAAAAAAAAAAAAAAAAAAAATTTTTTTTTTTATCGGTACCGGGGATCGAACTCATGACCACCTGCTTGCAAGGCAGGTGCTTATGCTGCTGAGCTAAATCCCCAGCCCCTAAAAAAAATTTTTTTAAAGGCTAGAGATATAGTTTAATGCTCAGTGTGATGCCCTGGGTTCAATCCTCAGTATCTAAAAAGAAGAAAGAAAGAATGAATGAATGATAAAACAACTTATTTTATTTTAAAAAGAATAAAACCAAGCAAAACAAAACAGAATGAAGCCAATCAAAACAAACCAGTGTGAGTGACACAGTACTTCAAAACAATATGAAATCAATTATCAAAATGCCTCGTTGTCTTCAAAATAGCTGTAGATACCTTCAGCCATAGTAAAAATCAAACAAAACAGAATAAAATAAAACCAATAAAAACAAAACAATGCAGGCAATTCATTGGACTTCAAAGCAAGACAATAATAAATCCAAAATGGCTACCATCATGTATCTTGCTATCTTTGAAATAGCTGCCCAGGCCATCAGACATATCAAAGTGGGAACACAAAAACAAACAAAGCAAAGTAACAGCAACAACAACAACAAAAAAAACCCAGAATAAAACCCAACCCAACAGAACAATGAAAATTATACAGGACTTCAAAACAAGGTAACAAGGAATTAACAATGGCTACTACCCTCAGGAGAACCCCAATAGATGCCACACTGCATAATTATCCTCTGAATAGATGATCAGACCACTTGCCCTAGACATGCAGTCAGTGGAACATCAAACACCACAAGCATCAAATTGCATTTCACCTAATAGCTATCACCATAGCAGCCTGTGTTTCTCAGTATCAGCGGGTTACTCATGGGGTAGGGGTGGGTGTTGGTTCTTTTCCCTGCCCATGCACAAGAAGGGGGTAGGGTCTGGCTATCCCTACAGCGGTGGCCCGCACAGGGCACTGGTTCACAGAGAGGGCTTGCTTCTTGGTGAATTCGGGTTCTCTTGCCCCGCAGTCTGTGAATGGCGCTGACTTACAGGATTAGGCTGTGGTCTGGCTGTCCCCTCGGGGGCAACGGTCTGCTTATGGTGCTGGTTCGCCAAGGATGGCTTAGTTGTTGAACTCTGGTTCTCTTCTGGATAAAACAGCTTCTAACCAACCCTTAGCAAATGGTACTAAATGGAGCATGCTTGTATGGTGAATAGTACTATCTGCAGAGAGAACTCATTACATTCCCCTAAGTATTGAAATGTAGGTGAGTTTTCTTCTATGAAAAGTTCTTACCGGTCTTTAACTATGATTTGAAACATGAATTCTTGTTTGTCTGGTTCTGTTATATCATTAAAAAAAACTTGATTATATTTAGTTCAGTTCTAACTATCTCAAAATCCTCTAGCTACCAAGTCAATTAAAAACAGATGCACTGCCAAATGAATACAACTTAGTGTGTTCACAGAATCATATCAGATCTATACAGAATAACAATAATTAGTAGATTGTCAAACCAATATTAACTTTAAACAGGACTGCAGTGACAGACCCATTCTAAGACATTCTGTAAAATCTTGAGACAGTAAAATAAATAAATAAATTAATTAATTAATTAATTAAAAAAAATCATGAGAGTAGTATCATTCAACCTATTAAACTAGTTCATGCTTTAGTTTTTTGTTATATGTGTTGATTAGGCAACAATAACTAGAAATATACCAAAATAATTTCACTTCAAAATGGATTCTGAACTTATATTCAAATGCAGGTAAATCTAACATTCTGGCAGTTGACATAAAAAAATTTAAAAAAAAAAAGAACATGCATCATGAAGACATCATGTACAAAGATCTCGAAAGTTGTTTGTCCAGTTTTTTGATTCAGTTAATTTCTAAACTACCATTACAATCAACCTCACTTAAGAAAATGCTCTATTAGCAACTTATTTCTGCTCCTGCCTCAAGGCCTATATGCACATGATGGTCTCTCTCTTTTCTGTAACACTTCTTCCCTAACCGTCCTTTTTAAATTGTTACTTCTCCAAGGAAGGACCCTCTGAACTTTCAAATTAGATTTCTTCCCAGGATTGACTTGCAACTCCACAAATCCCTTCCTCATTATATACACTTTGTGCAAATATTTATTAAATGTCTCCTCTACTAAACTCTAAGCTCTTTTTTTCACCACTGTACAACTAATGCGTAAAAGAATTAAGTGACTGGATATTGTTTATCAGGCAGGAATCTAAGCATAACTGATCTTTCAAATCTTTCCCCTCAGTACAGATGTCTGGAGTTTTTATTACTAGGTAAAGTAAGAGAAAGAACAGTTAGCAGGTGTGGTGATGCACAACTGTAATCCCAGCACTTGGGAGGCTAAAGTATGAAATTCACTGTAAGTTCAAGGCCAGCCTGGGCTACATAAGGGAGACTCTGTCTCAAAACAAAACAAACAAAAACAACAACAAAAAAAGAAAAGTTAAACAAAAATTAATAGCAGCTTAACTTCAAAGACGCTAATAATCTACAATTGATAATACATTATTACTAGAACATGGACAAGCAATATTAATATCACTTTTCCTTTTTTCTCTTTTTTGTCCTCATCTTGTAAGCCTGGGAGTAATACCCATCAGTATTAACTGGGTCCTACAAGTAATGGCAAATACTAAAGATTTTGAAACCTCTGCTTTTGAACATTTTTGTTTGTTTTGAGACTGAGTCACATTTTGTAGTGCAGGCTGGCCTTGAACACACTATACAGGCCATGTTGGCCTAAAAACCACAGCAACCCTCTTGTATCAGCCTCTACACTGCTGGAATTACAGACATGTGCCACCATACCACCCAACTCAGCATTTATTTTTTAAAAGTTTATTCTCTTCTGGTCCTAGTGGTACAGGTTTATAATTCCAGTATTTAGGAGGCTGAGGTAAGATTGCCACAAGTTCAAGGCCAGCCTTGGCTACACAGTGAATTCAAGGTCAGCCTGAGCTAAAAAATGAGATCCTGATTCAAAAAAAGAAAAAAAATTAAACACTGCTAATTCTATTTAAAATATTACCACAGATGTTTAAAAAATCAGAAAGTACACGTCTAAAATCATGAGTATATGCCTACATTGTGGGTCTTTCAAAAATTCAACACATTAAAATTACTGAAATAGCTGGGGATTTAGCTCAGTGGCTTAAGTGCCTGTTGGGCAAGCACAAGGTCAAGAGTTCAATCCCCAGTACAAAAAAGTTAAAAATAATATGAAATTACTGAAATAAAAGATATGAAAAGCTACCTATTTTCTTATTAGAATAAATTCACTCATTTTGTTTGAACAATATAATCATTTTTGAGAAAATGGCTGATAAAACATCATGTACAAACGTCATGTATACACAAGCCACATATGTATGTGACTTACATATATAAAATATTTTTGACAGCACTGGAAATTGGACACAGCGTCTTCTGACTGAGCTACATGCCCAGCCCCCCTTTCAGAGTGGTTCAGTTTCTTTTAAAAAGTAAAACTGAAGAAGGAGGGAGAAAACTGGTTCGGCTGAGTGAGCTTGGGCAGAGTAAAACAGGAAAAAGCAGGACCAAAGCACATCCTTGAGGACACAGGGCAGGCTATCATAAAGCCACAATAGCCCCATGCCTTTTTCTAATATTTTATTTTGAGACAGAGTGTCACTAACTCACTGAATTGCCCCAGGTAGTCTTAAACTTGTGCCCTCCTGCTTCAGTCTTCCACAGCGCTATGATTAAAGGTACTCATCACTACACCCGAATTAGTAACAGGGCTGGGAATGTGGCTCAGTGGTACAGCTTGTGCTTGGTGTATGTGAAGCCTAGGCTCAATCTTCATCATCAAAATTAAATTAAATAACATATCCCACAACATTTATCATTTGTTCCAAAATATCTGATCACTAAATCCTTCTTTTAAAATAGGGATTAAAAAAACTTGTATACACTACTTCTGAATGTTAGCTTTATGTATACACATATTTGTTGAGCATTAATTTTTAGATAAATTGTTGGATAATGGTTAAACTTTTAAATTGATGATTGAGGACTAATTTTAAGATAAAAATTATTTCTAAATTTTTCCTTCATAAACACAGAGCACTAATTCTTCTTTCAGAAACACAGAAAACTATTTTCCAAGATGACAAACTTAAGT